AGAAAAATATCAAGATAAAAGAAAAATCAAGTGTTAGAAAGAATCCACCTATGAGCAAAACTGTGGCTTCTAAATCATGCCTCTTGATTACCGCTTGACTCTAGTCTAACTTATCACAATGTTTGGACACCGTGATAGTTTGAAATATTACTAATAGTCCTGTGAGAATGATAAACTAGTCTTTTCTAAGCAGGTCACATATCTCGAAGAATGGAATCTGCCACAAAGCTTATCTATATTACTTTAGAATGAAGTAAAATAACATTTGCAAAATGATTTCACTCCATGAAGCATTTTGCTGCAGTGAAAATGTACAAGGCATTGTACGATCATCCGCTCTATGGGAAACAATGGATAGCAAACCATACTGATCTGGAAAAGAAATTACCTCTTCAGATAAGCAAAATCTGAATTAAATAAAGAAACGCAGATTTACAAGCCACAGAATTACAGAGCAAGAGCCGGAAGGAGTCTCAGCAACCAGCCTCGCTTCTTTGCTTATAGGAACAGCAGCTTGTCCAGAAGGCTTAAGGGATTCAATCAGCCAATGAGTAAGAGAGCAGGCGTTGAACCCAGACCTTAGGACTCACGTTCAATACTGTTATCATGGCGCTCCTCCAAGTGTGACTTTTAGGTGTGTGCTATGATCTGAATGTTTATGTCTCCCCCAAATTCATATGTTGAAATCCTAATGCCCAATATGATGGTATTGGGATGTGGGGCATTTGGGAGGTGATTAGGTCATGAGGGTAAGGGATTATTATTTTCATAAAAGGGCTCCAGAGAGATACCCAGCCCCTTCCACTGTATGAGGACTCACTGAAGGGCTGCTATGAGCCAGAAGGGGAGCCCTCACCAGAAGGGGGTCATGCTGTTGCCTGGATCTTGGACTTCCCAGCCTCCAGAACTGTAAGAAATAAAGGTCTGTTGTTTATAAGCCACCCACTGTGTGGTGCTTTGTTCTAGCAGCCAAATAGCTAAGACAGTATGTGAAGTAACTTTAGCCATTTACAAAGTGTTTTCATCTAGAGGTTTGGTTTGTCTGCTTTAATAAATACAATTCATGGTTCCCAGTACCCATATATAAACACAGTGTATCAAATCAAACCTGACCAGAAATCAAGTCCTTGCTGAGCACCTATTAATACTGTGCACCAATACAGGGAACGCAGAAGCATGAGACATTCTTTACCCAAAGGGTTAAAAGCTACTTAAGAAGATCAAGCTGCCACCTGAAACAGCGTCCAAGTCATAATAACACGTGGTTCATATTATTAGCGTTAAAAGATTTTGGAAAAGACCATGAAGGCTAAATATTAAATTAAACGAATGGAGAGTTCCATTTTCAGCTATGAAAGAATAGTAACTAGAAATGGACCAGTCCTTCCGCTGTAACCAACTGTTTCAGAAAGTAGACAACACATCCCAGGACTGTGATCCCTGAAAGAAGGGAAATAAATGAGCCAAGCCCTGTGATCTCCTATTTCTATGTGGAGGAATTTATCAGATTCCAGTACACAGAGGGGAAATACAGAGTATGGGGGCGGGCTCTTATAGAGCTGTGGAGATAAGGTTCAGAGTTGAAGGAGGCTGAGACACCTGAAATCTGCAGTGCAGAGCACCTGAGAGAAGGAAGCTACGCAGAATGAGGTCCAGAAATCTGCAGAGGGGTCCATTTGCATCTTTGGCTCTAGGCTAAGCTATGTATTCATAGTGTGACTCTCCATGGGCCAGGCAAAGCATCACCAGGGAGAGAATAGTTACAAAGGACCTATTAGCTGAACAGCTATTAAAATTCTCACAGAGCTGGGAGATCCTCAAGATCTGAACTATAGTGGAGCTGTATAGTGGTGAACTCATTCACCTCCCAGAGAATTCCACACTTTAAGAACAGGGCTACTCCAGACCTGCAGTAAAGGCTACTCTGGATCTGCCCTGACAAAGCTCTAAAAGCTCCAAAAGAATCAAACTGTCAGAGCTGAAAGGAGAAATAGAAAACACAATTGTATTCAGAGACTTTAACACTCCTCTCTCAATAACTGATAGAACAAGTGGACAGAAAATCAATAAGGACACAGACTTCTTAAACAACACTATCAACCAACATGACTTAATATTTTAAAACATTACAGTCATACACCGCAGAATCTGTATTCTTTTTCAAGGGAACATCAACTAAGATAAATTGGGTCATAAAACAAGTTGATATATATTTAAAATAATTGAAATCAAACAGAATATTCTCTGACCAAAGCATATTCTCTAACATAATGAAGTTAAATATCAATAATAAAAAAGAAATCTAAAACATCCTCAAATAATTGGAAATTAACCACCACGCTTCTAATTAACACAAAGGTCAAAAAACACAAGGGAAATTAGAAAACATTTTGAACTGAATGAAAATAAAAACATGACATATCAAAATATGGGAGATCCAGTTACATTAGTGGTTAGAGAAAATTTTAGTATTAAATGCCTATATCTAAGAAAAAGAAGATCAAAAATCTAAGCTGACATCTTAAGACGCTAGAAAAAGAGAAAATAAACCCAAAGTAAGCTGAAGAAAATAAATAACAAAGGTACAAGCAGCAATCAATAAAATAGAAAATAAAGAAACCTAAGGAAAAATATCTAAGAAACCAAAATCTGGTTCTTTGAAAGATAAATAAAATTTACAAAACTCTAACTATACTAATAAATATAAAAAGAGAAAAAGCACAAAGTGGCCATATCAGGAATGTCTTACAGACAATAAAAAGGAAATACTGTAAACCAGTTTATGCCAATAGACAATTTATATAAAATGGACAAACTCCTTGAAAAACATAAATTGCCAAAACTGACATAAGAAATTTAAAAATTGGAGAACCCTGTTTCTGTTAGAGATTCTCAGCCCCAACTCCTCTTCTTTGACCTGCTTTGTGATACTGGAGCTGCGGCCTGTAAACACTTCTCTTTTGCCAGAGAGCAAGGAGGGTACCGCAGGGACATTCAGAGGAAAGGAGCTTTCATCCTTGAGACCATGTGCTTTCTTCTTCCTGCTCCTGTGGTGTGGGGCTAATAGCAGCCCTGGGGACACCCTGTGATGCACCCCTTCCAGTGAGGGCTGGGACAGCCAGTACTTACCCTCCAGTATTTTTCACCAACACTCCAAGAGCTTTCCCAGAAAGTTTCACCAGCACCACAAAAGGTAACTTTCTAGAGAGTTTCAGCAGCATCCCGGGAGGCAGTTTCCCAATGAGTCTCAAATACAGCCCGGAAGGCAGTTTCCTGCTTGCCAGACCCAGTGCTCACCATCCCAGCAAACTCCTATGCCATCCACAGTGCCACAGCCAAACCACCTCCAATGAGATCTGAATCCCGGCCTTGCAAGGAAGCCCTCTTCCAAATGTGCTCCTTCCTTGAGCACTTTTCCCCAGTCAAGGAAGTGGCTGGTCTCTACAGCTGCCATTTCTGTGTTCTTTAGGTGTCTCTTTACTCCTCAGTAGTTAATCCTATTACTAGTTAGTATCTCTTTACGTTAAGTTTTTCCTAGTGTAGCTTCTGCCTCCTGACTGGACCCTGACCAATACAACTGATGAATTCCATCTAAGATTTAAGAAACTCACAAACTCTTTCAAAAAATAAAGAAGAGGAGGGAACGCTTCCCAACTGATTTTATAAGGCATCATCCTGTTACCAAAACCAGACAAGGACATTATATGAAAAAAAAAAAAAAACTAGACCAATATTCCACATAAATATAGGACCAAAAACCCTTAACCAAATACCCAGAAATCAAATTCACTACTATATAAACAGGGTAATAAACCCCAGTTGGTCATGCTATATCTCAGGAATGCAAAGTTGTTTTAATACGTAAAGATCAAACATATGACATACCACCTTAATAAAATAAAGGAGAAAAATCATATAACTATGTTATTAGGTATAGGAAAAGCATTTAATAAATTAAATCTCTATTCATAATAAAATTCTCAGCACACTGTAAATAGAAGGTAACTTTCCTTAGATAAAGGGAATCTACAAAAAAGAAACTCTACAGTTAACATCACACTCAATGACAAAAGACACTTTTCTCCTAAGATCAGGAATAAGGCGAGGACATCTGCTCTTATCACTTCTTCCCTGCCTTGTACTGGAAGTCCTAACCAGCACAATAAGACAAGAACATCAGAAATAAAGCAGACATACTGGAAATGATAGGGACAGAGTAAAGACAGACAATGAAAGGCACAATAAAATGAAACACAAGAAAATTGCTACAATTTTACCTTTGGACCCACTCACAGCATTGGCTATATGGGGTTTTCTTCCTCCTTCCAGTCACCTGGGAAAATGATCACAGAGAGTTATAAGGGTCACGAGACTAAAAGTCGGACCCAAGAGAATTAAAAAATGCAGATAACCCAATTAATCTGCTAATATTTATTACTGTAGAAATAGCTTTAGAGGTAGTTTATTAATGGGGCATTCTTCAAATCATCCCACTCCATATATCTATAATTCAAAAGCCTCATCTTAAAAAGGAAGAGAAAAAAATACTTTTTAGAGTGTAAGCATAACATGTTGAAGTAGTTTTCAAGAAGCAGAATTTCCAAATTTCACAATTTGTATGGAAACACAAAGACCCCGGATAGCCAAAGCAGCCTTGAGAAAGAAAAACGGAGATGGAAGAATCAGGCTCCCCAACTTCAGACTATACTACAAAGCTACAGTAATCAAGACAGTATGGTACTAGCACAAAAACAGAAATATAGATCAATGGAACAGGACAGAAAGCCCAGAGATAAACCCACGCACATACGGTCACCTTATCTTTGATAAAGGAGGCAAGAATATACAATGGAGAAAAGACAGCCTCTTCAATAAGTGGTGCTGGGAAAACTGGACAGCTACATGTAAATGAATGAAATTAGAACACTCCCTAACACCATACACAAAAATAAACTCAAAATGGATTAAAGACCCAAATGTAAGGCCAGACACTATCAAACTCTTAGAGGAAAACACAGGCAGAACACTCTATGACATAAATCACAGCAAGATCCTTTTTGACTCACCTCCTAGAGAAATGGAAATAAAAACAAAAATAAACAAATGGGACCTAATGAAACTTCAAAGCTTCTGCACAGCAAAGGAAACCATAAACAAGATGAAAAGACAACCCTCAGAATGGGAGAAAATATTTGCAAATGAAGCAACTGACCAAGGATTAATCTCCAAAATTTACAAGCAGCTCATGCAGCTCAATATCCAAAACACAAACAACTCAATCCAAAAATGGGCAGAAGACCTAAATAGACATTTCTCCAAAGAAGATATACAGATTGCCAACAAACACATGAAAGGATGCTCAACATCATTAATCATTAGAGAAATGCAAATCAAAACTACATTGAGATATCATCTCACACTGTTCAGAATGGCTATCATCAAAAAATCTACAAACAATAAATGCTGGAGAGGGTGTGGAGAAAAGGGAACCCTCTTGCACTGTTGGTGGGAATGTAAATTGATACAGCCACTATGGAGAACAGTATGGAGGTTCCTTAAAAAACTAAAATTAGAACTACCATACCACCCAGCAATCCCACTACTGGGCATATACCCTGTGAAAACCATAATTCAAAAAGAGTCATGTACCAAAATGTTCATTGCAGCTCTATTTACAATAGCCAGGACATGGAAGCCACCTAAGTGTCCATCGACAGATAAATGGATAAAGAAGATGTGGCACATATATACAATGGAATATTACTCAGCCATAAAAAGGAACGAAATTGAGTTATTTGCAGTGAGGTGGATGGACCTAGAGTTTGTCATACAGAGTGAAGTAAGTCAGAAAGAGAAAAACAAATACCGTATGCTAACACATATATATGGAATCTAAAAAAAAAAAAAAAAGGTCATGAAGAACCTAGGGATAAGACGGGAATAAAGATGCAGACCTACTAGAGAATGGACTTGAGGATACGGGGAGGGGGAAGGGTAAGCTGGGACAAAGTGAGAGAGTGGCACGGACATATATACACTACCAAATGTAAAACAGATAGCTAGTGGGAAGCAGCCGCATAGCAGAGGGAGATCAGCTCGGTGCTTTGTGACCACCTAGAGGGGTGGGATAGGGAGGGTGGGAAGGAGGGAGACGCAAGAGGGAAGAGATATGGGAACATATGTATATGTATAACTGATTCACTTTGTTATAAAGCAGAAACACAACATTGTAAAGCAATTATACTCCAATAAAGACGTTTAAAAAATTTTGTTTTAATAAAAATGAAATAAAGGTAATACGAACAACAACAAAAAAAGCAGTATATCCAGTGTTCTTCAGCTTCCTGTTACGGCAGCATTACCCACGACGAGGACACCAGCTCACTAGACACACAGTCAGCATGAATAGATACATCACGGTGATGATCAAGTCCTTGCCATCTGCATGATCATGTGCAAATAAGACGACGAGAGCTACCTCAGCATTAACACAAGGCTTCGAGGTCTGAACACCCAAACCACTCTGCAGGATGTGACCAACGTACCTAGTGCCCTATGTACGGGACGTATCAGGTTATATTAAAGATTCATCTGTTTCTCCTTGGAATTCTAAAAAAAAAAATCTTCAAGATGGTCAAGCAAAAATATATTTTTCTCCTCATTTACTCTCCATTTTTTGTAGCTTCCAAAAGGCTCCTATATTGATCCATCAAAACCAGAAACGGCTCTGAACCAAAACCAAAAAGAAAGAAAATCCAGAGAGTGTTCTATGGCACTCTGTGGGTGTTAGTGTATGGCTTCCACACGAAAGTTGTCAAACTGTGCAAATTCAAAGGAGTGAGTTCCAATCGCGGCCCAGCCATTCTTCGGGAAGTTCACAGAGACGTTTTTCCAGAGAGGCTTGCCATTCAGCGTGCCAGAAGAGAAACCACCCTGGAATGGGGAGAAACACATCCCTTAAAGACACGTGAAACTGATCCTCTGAAATCTGTTTCTTAATGGATGGCCAACCTACTTAGTGCAACAAGTATCCTTCTCACTTAAGATTTACCACAGCAAAATGACTCCACAAGTTTGAGCAAAAGTTTGAAATACAGAAAAAATTTTTTCAAAGGAAATTCTTATCTATCTATATAAACAGTTTCCAAGGTACAAGAATACCTCAGTATTTCCTTGTACTCCAACAAAATGCTGTAAAACTTGCAGAAATGTAACACTTTTCATAACATTACGATAAAATTGTAGATAAAAGTTCACTAAAATAAAAAACCATTTGTCATTTACACGTAGTGGCATGTACATGCATTGTACTGACAGCTTACAGCCACCAGCTCTTCAGACAGGACTGCTGGGGTCAAAATGTTTTATTTATTTATTTATTTTAAAGGCTTTTCTTATTTATTTATTTATTCATTCATTCATTCATTCATTTGGTTGCACCAGGTGTTAGTTGCGGCTCACCTGCTCCTTAGTTGCAGCTCGCCAGCTCCTTAGTTGTGGCATGCGAACTCTTAGTTGCGGCATGCATGTGGGATCCAGTTCCCTGACCAGGGATCGAAGCCAGGCCCCCTGCGCTGGGGGCGCAGAGTCTTAAACATTGCGCCAGCAGGGAAGTCCCTCAAAATGTTCATTTGAGGTCTTCATTAAGGAGCCTCAGCCCAGCTGGGAGAGGAGTAATCAACCTTCGTTTTATTGCTTTATCCTCATGTACAGAATACCACTTCAAAGTTATATCAAGAGCCTACACTTAAGTTAGAAAAACAGTAACCATCAGTTAAACTGATGACTGGGGAGAGGTGGGGGGTTGAGTGGATGGAAGGAGAGAAATATCCACAGGAACAACTTCCTAGTCACTGACAGAGAAAGATAAAAATAATGTCCTCCTCAGACAGCTGCCATTCCTACTTAGCTAAGTGGCTGGCACACAGCTCTTATTATCATTATTATAGCGTGCTTATGAGAATATATCCACAGCACACTCATTCCAGCTACATTTAAAACTAGCTAATTTCAAAGAGTGAAGAGCAAAAGATCCAAAGCACTAGGCCAAGGATCAAAATAAAATCTGCTCTTAAGTCATAAAATTATACTGGAATGGGCCTTCATTTACTTATTTTATTTTATGCATGGAGACACGGTGACTTAATGAGACTAAAAATCAAAGTCACAGATTTGCCAGCAACGCTAGGACTTGAATTTGAGTTGCGCAACTCCACGTTCAGAGCCGCATACATTTCTGCTACTACACACCTGCACAGCTACCTTCAGCTCTGGAAGTGCTTCCTGAACATCTTCTGCCACATAGGGGATAGTGAATATTAACACTGAGCCAAGGAGCTTATGTACACAAATTATATTCAGCACTAAAGCTCATCCTCCCCCTGCCCCTCGCCCCCCAGGTGTCAGCCAACCTATCCTCTGGCAGCTCGTCACACAAGGCCAATCACAGCAGTGTCCTGTGCTCAGACTGCTCTCTTCCCACCACTCAGCTCTCACCTCAAACGTCACCCACTTCAAGAGGCCTTCCCTGACCTCTCTATCTAGAGAATCTGGCAGGGAAGCTACTTTAACTCATTATCTCATTTTTCCCTCATAATTTTATTTATTTGTTTATTTGGAGCAGGAGTGAGCCAACCGTGGCCCACAGGCCAGCCACCTATTTTTATAAATTAAATGTTATTGGCACACAGGCACCCCCATTCATCTACCTATAGTCTACGGCTCCTTTCTCACTACAAAAGCAGAGCTGAACAACTGCAATGTAGACCAAAGGGCTCACAAGACCTAAAATATTTACTCTTTGGCTCTTTAAAGAAAAAAAAAGTTTAATAATCCCTGTCCTAGAAGAATACAGGCTCTGAGAGAGCTGGAACCTCCTCTGTCTTGTTCACTGCTGTATCCCCAGTACTTAGAACAGTGCATGTAACAGATGCTTAATAAAAACGTGTCGAATGAAAAACAAAGAACTCTAAAACAACCCACAGAGCCTACCTCCATTTTACAGATGAGGAAACAGAGGCTCAAAAACGTGAAATAACTTGCTGGAAGTCTCAGCATATATCAGTAAGGAAATATGAATGCTGACCTGTCTGGTTCCTAACACACCTACTCCTAAGAATATTAACTTGACTCATTAAAGTGCTCACCACTTCATATATATATATTTATATATGATACCATTCAATCTACATAAGGGTGTGTCTTCATGAGGTTATGATGGTAAAACAGAAGCAGAGCAACATAAAGTATCTGCAAGTGGCTATTACTGGACTTCAAAGTTTATCATTCTAGCCCCCACGCAACAGCGCGAAGACAAAGCATCTGATGTGTGCCGAGAAGAATTCAAAAATGGCCAATTTCAAAATCATAAAATCCTCATATTAGCAGTAATTTGGAAAATGAACATCATAAAAGATGTTGTTTTGTTTTGTTTTTCATGTATGCGACCAATATTTATATGTCAAATGTTGCTTAAGTCACTGGGAGTTTAGGACGAACAAGAAAAACAAGGTCCCTCCTCTTATACAGCTTACATTCTAGTAGAAGGAGACACACAAACACACATGATACCTAGGAGATAAGTGGCCTGTGAAGAACTGAAACAGGTTGATGTGATGGTGGGTGCCTCAGAGACCGCTCTGGATTATGTGCCCAGAGTTGGTGGAACAAGAAATAATGGGGTAAGGGGTGGAGCAGGTGTAAGTCAGCAATATCCCCGCCCATCCCAGCAGCAAGACTGGAGCTAACTTCTAAAAGTAGTAAATCACATTATATAGAAGACATATCAGAAGAAAACAGCTGAAATAGTTCAAAGTGGCTGTGTCAGAGGAGCAGAACACAGAATGGGGTGAGGTGGCAGGAACAGCAGTGAGGAAGGAGGCAGGTGTTTTCGATAAGCCCTTTTTTTAAAGATGTATGCAAAATATCTAATAAAATTAAGGAAATTTACCTTTTTAAATCCTATTCAAAATTTCAAAAAGTTCATAAAATTACTAAAAATAAGCCCTTCAAGTAATGTGGAAGAACTACAGAAATAAAACTGAAGGACACAGTGGGAGATCTTATAAATGGTGAGATGCAGCATGTTCTTGTTACCATGTTCTTGAATGGGGAAACACACTATTCTTTTTTTTAGAAAAAAAGTCTTTACTGAATTTGTTACAATGTTGTTTCTATCATGTGTTTTGGCCTTTTGGCCACAAGGCATATGGGATCCCAGCTTCCCAAACAGGGATCGAACCCATACCCCCAACATTGGAAGGCGAAGTCTTAACCACTGGACCGCCAGGGAAGTCCCTGGAAACACATTATTCTAAAAGAATATATTATTTTTCCCCAAATTGATGTATAAATTCAGAGTAATACTAGTAGCATTTTTCATGAAATTGAAAAGATGTTTTTAAAATTCAAATAGAAGAGTAAATATACTATTGAAATAGCAAAGGTAATTTTTAAAAAGAAATAATGAGGAACTTGCCTCACCGGATATCCACTCATTCATTCTACAAGGGTTCTTGCTCTGACTGTGTGTGCACCAGGCACTTTTCTAGGTGCCAGAGAGCCGGCAATGAATAAAACAGACGCCCGTCATTAAAGGAGCTTGGTTTTAGTGAATGGAGCAGGACAAACACACAGCGATCAATAGAACATGTAAGATGTCAGGAGGTTAACGAGAGCTTCAGTGAAAAATTAAGGAAGAGAAGAGGGGCAGAGAGTGAGACGGGGTGCTATCTTATAGAAGGTGGTCAGGAAGGAACTCTGAAGGAAGTAAACCATGTAACCAAAGATTTCTTTACTACAGAAAGTAAACACAATTTAAGGTGGGATATTGGATAATAACAAACAAAGCAATTAAACAGAAAAAAAGCTCAGAAATAAGCCTATGTACACATGATGATTTGTTATGTCGAAAACATGGCTTTTAAATCATGGGCAAAAGGACAGTCTATGTACTAAATATGACGGCTATCCACTTGTTTTTAAAAAATTATGTTGGGCTCTTCTCCTTATGAACCACAAATACATTCCAGATGGATTAAAGACTTAAACATTTAAAAAAATCCTAAACTTTGTTTGGTTTTGGGGAAAAAATGTTCCTGACGTTGAGAAAGGGGAAGCCCTTCTTAAATAAAACATAAAAGCAATGAAAAAAAGTGAAATATATGACAGTAGCAAAGTTTAAAACTTCTATTCACGAAATATACCATAAGCAAATTGAAATACATATGACAGAATAGAAGCAAATATCTGTGACACATACAACAGACGAGTTACTACCCAGAATATATAATAAATTCATACAAATCCATCAGAAAAAGACAACACAATAGGAAAATGAGGAAAGAGTGTGAATGGGTAACTTCAGAGAAGAAAAAACACAAACAGCCAATAAACATAGTAAGATGTGCAACCTCCCTAATTATCAAGGAAATAAAATTCATGTCTATTAATTTGAAAAAAATCTTTAAAATCAGTAATATCAAATATTATTATAACTGCTATAAAAATTGATGTAGTTTGGCTAGCAATAGGGGCAGGATCTGTTAAAATTTAAAATCCAATTCCAAGACCTAGTATCTGCCTAAACAAATAACAGCACATGTGTACTGTTATTTGTTCCAGCAGGAACCACCTCACACCAAAGGCACATAAAAGATGCCTCCCCTCTATCTGCAGGTAAGCCAGCCCTTACTGCCTCAGTTCACTGCAAAAGGGAAGAACTAGGAACGAGGTTACGCCCATCAAGTGTGGTTTTAGTTATATAAACTGTGTCACACCCAAACTGGATTTTCAGTAAATATTGTTACTGCCAGAAAAATTAGTACTGTCACTTTTGGTGGTTGAGTAAGAGAAGAGAACAAGTTCAAAAAGTTATTTGAATTCCATTTTTTATCTCTATTGTAACCTGAAGAAAATTATGACAGGACTGTCTTGGCAGAGAGCAGTATATTATACAGAAGAATTTCTCTACACAGCATCCCGTGGAAGCAGGTCAATCAATAACTCATGATCAACCAATAATTTTGACAAATATTTTTAGATTTCCATGATACTACCGTCAATCTGGTATCATCTCTGACAAAGAGTCATGGAAACTAACTTCTAAAAAAGTGTGCTTAGAGCTGAAAACCAAATCATTCTTAACCATCAAAAAATAAATTTATGTGACTTTGCTTATACCTATTAGCTCCAATAAGAATCTTGGTTTAAGAAAACTTTAAAAAAAAATAGTTCAATTATTGATTCTGCCAATTACTCCTGAGTTTAAAAAACAAAAACAAAACAAAACAAAATACTGGGGGTGATAAAGTCAGCTGCTGATGGTCCTCAGGTGCGTTTACCCAGACACACGGTATCATCCCAGGGACTGGTGGTTTGCTGGTATCACGGCAGACTCTCTGCCTATTTTCCACTATTTATCGTACTTTCCCCCTTTGATAACAGAAAACGTTAGAAAAGCACAAGAAAAGAATATTTTTACCTCAGGCATTCTGATCAGCAATACTTACATTAATAGTTAAAGTGAGTGTATACCATTTTTTTGCTGTAACGTCAGCATGTCCTGAAGTATATATGATCCATCCAGCTGTAACACAAAGAGATTATCCCAGTTGATGTATTTTTAGAATCTAAATCACAGAATCCCATAACTCAGTGGGGGTTCTTAGGCGCATTTGTATGTAGTAAAGTCAGCCTTAATAAAGATCGACATTTCCATACCTACAATTGATTTAAAACAAAACATCCTTCATTCAGGCATCCATCCAGCATGCACAGAGATCCTACTCTGAGCCATATGTGAGCTCACAAGAGAACGAGCAAAATAAACTTACAAACCAAGCACGGTACAATGACGCATTAGCGTGTATAGTTCAGGTCTGCATGTACACCTGATTGGACTGAATATGGAGGATAAGGAGGAAGAGTCAAAACCTACCATAAGATTTCCAGCTAGCGTACCTGGCTACATGGTAATAGCACTCGCTGAGAATTAGAGAGAAAATAATAATCTAGTTTTTGAACGTATTATATTTGAATGCCTGAGAGAAAGCCAGGATGAGATGTCCAGTGGGCAGTTTAAGACACAGAGCAGTGGGGACTGAAGTCAGAGATTTAAATCCCTAGTTCCAATTCTGCCACTACCTCATTTTGAGACCTTGGGTAAAGCAATTAACCTCTCTGGCACTCTTTTGGATTGGAAAATGCAAGGTACCTTCCAGATCAGTCATGCTATGATTATGCAATTCCTATTCTAATGTCCTCATTACCCACTCCCTCTTTAATTTTTATTTTATTATTGGAGCCCTTTTCACCTTAGGAAGAGGCATAGGGGAACAAACTGTAGGGGAGAAGATTTTTTATTAATGCAGGACGAAAGTCAAGAGACTATGAATCAAGAAGAGTCACCACCAATAAGGTCTAGTTTCAACAGAGCGGTGTGTACCCAAACCAAAGTGAAGTGGATGGGATTCAACTTGAACGGATTCTAAGCACCTATTCTGGATAAAATACTATTCTACATAAGACAAGGACTGTTAAGATGAATGAGAAAAGTCCAGCTGTTTTCAAATTATTGACTAAATTAGGAAATAGGAATTCTCCGTCTTAAACAAATCAATCCTTCCTTTTGTATTTCCATAAGCACACCAGCAACATTCTTATAGTCTTGCTTTTAGTTATAGTGTTTCCTGAGTATTCTCTCCCTACTACTAGCACCACACCCCAATCTCTGGTAATCCTACTCTGACAGCCTAGCTCAACTCTACAATAGCCGATAAGCTTTGCACAATTTTCTCTTGCACTGAGCTGCCTCTGTCTGTACTAATTAACACTATAATTTTGAATCGTTTGGCGTTTGCTTACACGTGTTGAATCTCTTCTCAATTAGATGTTCGAACACGATGAGGTATAAAGCTCCTTCATTACTCCCATAAGTAACAGACAGATACAGCAACATATCATACAGTAACCATGTGCTATAGAAGAAGCCACTTACCTAGATCACCTGTAACTCTGTAGGTTCCATTTGCAAAAATCCAGAAGAAAACTCCCCTGGCACTTCTAATCAAAATGCCACCTTTATTCACTCTTCCAGCAATGAACACACCTCCCTTCTCAGGGGTCTCTAGGTACACATCACACTTTATAGTCAAATTGGACCTGCAAAATCAAAGTGTTAGTGCTTTTAATTATGTCATTTCAAATGTAGCACAAATGGCTCTTTTCACAGTCACATGCTTCCAAACTTCTAATCAAGGTATGTGATTTGCTAAGTCCACACTTATACCAGGGATGGGCTTCATTGATGATGGTTTCAAGTTTTACATGACGGAAGTCAAGTCATTTCATTGCCTCTTTTAATGACTTACTGTTGGAAGATAATATTTACTGTTTTCAAGCTTCTTAAGAATATATTTCCTGTCTTTCTACAATAAAATAACTTCTCATTCTAAGAATATAAGGAGAAGCCATTTTTTCTAGGACTACGTAAAAGATAAGTTTCCACATCATTCTGAACAAAAAGGTTTATTACATTTCCATCAGCAAAGGGAAGCAGTGGAGGCTGCTAGGAACCTCTGGGAGAACAAAAGCTGCTTTGAGGCTAATTTTTACATTTAACCCTAACAAGACACAGTCAACTCTATGTCGACTCTACAGTAGGGCTTTTCACACTTGAGCAGTATTGAAATCACCCTGGAGGGCTTATTCAGTTCAGTCTGCAGGCCCCACCCCTCAGGGTCCGATTCAGTAGGTCTAGGGTGGGCCCCTTGAGTGTGCATGTCTAACAAATTGCCAGGTGATGCTGATGCTTCTGGTCCAGGAATCTCACTTGGAGGACCGTTTTCCCCTACAGAGTACCTAAGTCTGTGCAGAGGCAGTAAAACCCTGGTTTTGGTATCACTGACAGGAGATCAAAGGACGAGAAAGGTTCAGCCAACCAGGAACTACCAGAGCTTTAACAATGAGATCTCCTCAAGGCTTCCTTTTACAAATGCTACTGGATTCCTTCTGCAATGATATAACCACCCCAATCCAATACGACCTCTGAAAATAATTCCCCTCCCACTCAAATTCTAAGTGCAAATGGAAAAGAATTAGAAAACTTGCACACAGTCATGTAATAAAGCAAGCAATTTACCTAAAATAAAACTAAGAATGCCAAGAAATACATTTTGGAAATGGGGAGAAATTGGATCCAGAATTATGTGACTTTTACATTTCTCAGAGTTTCCTGTCAGTGAATTTTGCACAGTGAAATTTTACTTTGTAAAGGAAAACATAAAAAAGAAGCGCCTACAGCAGGCACACAACAATCAGGAAAATCGACATTTAATCATTTAATCAAAGCTGGGCTACTTTACGGGAAAATCAAATGCCAAGTAACTAAAGCTCAGTCTCTCTTGTATGTCCTCCCACAGCAGAGGGAGTTTTTCTCTCTGTAGATTATCACCAGCATGAAACCACCAAGGATCAGCCTTGTTCCTTACATCCCCTACCTCCCTGCTGGCTCATCAGAAGTTTGAAAGTGCTACAGATCCTGTCAGCACCAAAAACTTATTCTATTTAGAGTTAGAGTGAGAGAAGATCAAACGTTTTCCTTTTATACATTACAGTCCAGAATAAGTGATTCTTGCGTCACAACTTACAGGCAATTTTACAGATAATGAATAAAATAGAATAAAAGTTTGGTTTAGTCTTCCACAGCCATAATCTCTTGGAAGTGCTGAGAGAACAAAAACCAGCCAACATAATTAAGCAAATTTGATCAAAAGGATGCAGAATTCAGGTCTGTGCAGCGAAAGATAATTTTGTGATTGTCCTCAGATCCCAACCAAAGCTTACTAACAAGATGGAAGTCTTTAACAGCTTTGGTAAAGCCTACCATTTATAGTCAAATTACTGTGCTGATACTTAACTAAATCTAAATATGAAAGAAGGTCTGTCCTAAACACAGTTCTAAGAACTGATGGCACTGTGCGCACATAGAGCCGATTTACTAGGACAGCACTATGGATAAACTCCACTAACTTACTAACTTTCCCTTTCCTCCTCTCAGGAAGAAGACAATGATTAAAACAAGGCTGTGAGGTATAGTCCAAGAGCATGGGCTACAGCACCAAACAGACCTGGCCTCTTGCCCTGGTTCTGGAATTTAAAAGTATGGGATCTTGAACAAATCTCACCCCGAAGCCTCAGTTTCCCAGTCTATAAGGTAAAGAGGATGCTACCTTTGCCAAAAGGTAGCTATGGGAAGCTCATACCAGTGTTTAGTGTTACCCAGTTTTCATTCCCTCCTTTCCCTGCAATAAATGGGCATCACAGCCAGAGAACAGAAATGAACATGGGATGTGTGTACATCTCTAAACAGATCTGGCTCCCTTGAATCCAGGATAGGATAATGGGAAATAACACAAAATAAATAGGATGAGACCAAATTTTAAAAGATCTTGGAAGTCAGGCATAGAAGTGCAGATCTGGTTCAGTAGCAGGAAAGAGTCACTGCATACTTTTTTTTTTTTTGCGGTACGCGGGCCTCTCACTGCTGTGGCCTCTCCCGTTGCGGAGCACAGGCTCCGGATGCGCAGGCTCAGCGGCCATGGCTCACGGGCCTAGCCGCTCCGCCACATGTGGGATCTTCCCGGACCGGGGCACGAATCCGCGTCCCCCGCATCAGCAGGTGGACTCTCAACCACTGCGCCACCAGGGAAGCCCCACTGCATATTCTTGAGCAGTGAAAGAACATGAAGAAAGCAGGGCTTAAAAAAAGACAAAAATAGTCCTTTCTTGACATGCATAATTGTCATTTCCTGGTTCTTTTTCTTTCAGAATATGTCACTCCTTCCTTCTCTCCCCACTTTCCCCCATCCTCCTCTTCACCTCCTTACACACTGCAATAGTAAAGATTGAGTATTGCTATTTAAATACTGCAAAACCTTCAAAGGTACGAAGAGTTTTGTTTAATCTGTAGATGGTGCTCTACATCATCTCTCTACTACAATGAAAGAGTCTCCCAGTCTTTCTGGAGTCCCAGCCAGAAACAATAGATTTGGGGTTCAGAGAGAGCCCTATGTAGTGTTCATGAGCGTGGGGGATATGGGTTGTCACGGAAACGTAAAGGTTTTCTATGGTGGCTGGCTTCCAGACCGGTGACCAAAATAACAGGGACCATCCCTTAGATAATTAAATGCAGCCACCTGTCTTACTGTAAGACCATTAGTAATAAATGACGAAATCACAAACCCCGCTGACATGGCCAGAATGTCCAGATAAAGTGTCTGGTACAGAGATGTTTGGATAACATGTTGTATAAGAAGATAAGCCATTGAAGTTATTCTAAATTAGGCAAGAATTCTTTACCCCCAATAACTCTCCAAGGAGCTGTAAGGGTTCTAGAAACTCTGGATAGGAGTTTCTTAAGACTTACTATCTGAGCTTGAGACTAGAATTGGGATTTATAACAGGGAGTAAGGCAATACAGAAAGGATAGAGACTTTCTGCAGCATTCTACAGATAAACAATCAAAGCTCTTTTCCAAATTATCTTCCCTTCCCTGCCCAATTTCCAAGCTACAGATATGGCTATTTGGTGACTTGACATTAATAGTTACTATCACTAAGCCTGAAATGCTTGTGTTTTATGTTTCACGGTAGCATTATACTAGTTAAAAGAAAAAATAGAAAAGAAACACCTAAAACAGTTATAATTAGTCAGTACATTGGAATTCCAGAACTGGCTTCTCAGTTTTGCTTTGGCCATTATATTTTGAGTGAAGAATAAATACATCTTCTCTCTTTATCAAATGCCTAAATAAAAGAGCGGAATTCTCTAGCCAACTAAAAGCTGATTTGCTTTTTACTGTTGCCCTCTACTGTCACCCGGTAAATAGATTTTCCACAAAAGCTAAAACAATGTAATTCAAGTATGAATCCAGCAGGTGGCAACACCATTTCAACAAATCAACTCTCCAGCAAAAACAAAAACTTAAAAACAACATGCAAATCACAAAGTCTGCTTATAAATAAATTTTAAATTATCACTGGGTCCAAAAGTCCTCAATTTTTATATTAAAATCAATCTGATCCTGCAACAATTACTATTAAATTGGGCAAATCTGAGGGAAGGACACTTAGGCAATAAAACAATTGGCTGGTTTATGGCCACCGTGATATTCAACAATTATAACAAACCTATTAGGTTCTTGGACAGGAGAACTGTTGAAAAGTCCTGGCTTCAGAATGTACCCGACAACATTACAAGGTTATTTCAGCCAGATCTACATAAGGATGTCAATTTTACATACCATTTGTAATCTCCTATAATACTGATGGTGCTGAATGCATCAGCAGCCCAAGTAATGGGCCTTTGATTGAGAACCTGGCGCAGTGTGAAGCGATGCTCTCCAGGGTCTTCAATATTCATAAAGTATTCAAATACACCAGTCTGATCAGCAAAATTCGGAGCTTCACTAAAAAATGGGTAATCTGTTCAGAGCACAATAAATTCTTTGTTTAGTATCAAATCTTACAGAATCTCTCCTCTCTGATATTTTCTGGTACATTTTGATATACTTTTCAAAAGTTTTAAATAAGTAAATGATACTTATAAATAGTCAAAGTTTAGGGTTTAGGTTACTAAAGAACTATTGACTTTTACATCATCTTTATTAAGTATCAATGTGATCAGTTTGACCTACAGACTTTACATACTTAATCCATGCAACTGCTTAAGAGGAAAGATCATGAGTTCTGAAATAAGCAGACCTGGGTTCGGATTCTAGCTCAGTCGGTTCCCCAGGCAAGGTGCTTAACGGCCCTGACTTACCAAGTTTTCAGCTTCTCAGAGGTACGAAAGCAGTATGCATTCAGCAGAAACTGTACCTCAACTTCTGAATTTTGATCAGGATGCCCTCCTGTGATGCCGGGTAGTGGCAGCAAGCTACAGTGAGCCACACCTCCATCAGCCATGCAATCACGAGGGTGAACAAGATACACTCGGAACCATTCTGTACCCAGACAACCACTTTGCTTTTCACTTTCAGTACAGTCTTCAATAAACAACACGACATATGCCACACCTTATTAGGCTTCGTGTTAGATGATTTTGCCCAACTGCAGGCTCTCGTAAGTTTTCTGAGCACATGTAAGGTAGGCTAGACTGAGTGATGAGGTTTGGTATTTTTTGACCTATGATATTTTCAATTTACGATGGGTTTATCAGGACCTAACCCCACCGTAAGTTGAGTAAGATCTGTATAACTTTCATTCCAACAATAACCTCTACACTTTTTCTGGCACTGAAACTTACAGGACCCTCAAGTTGCGATTTATCTTGAAGTAACACAAAAACTAGTTCCCGTTTACCACGTAGAGATTTAGAGCTAAATTAATGTAGTTCTCACAACCACTCCATCAGGCACCGGTTTGACAGGCAGAAATCTATCCACTACTGCTGAAATTGGAAACCAAGTTACGCTTTAGTACAAAAACTTACCGACATTGAAGTCATCCTTATAGACACAGGGAAAGGGCTGGGACTTCGGAGGCAGCAGGTAACTGCCTTTGCTGCCGGCGGTGAGCGTGGTGAGTGTGAACAGCTCGTCCTCCTGCAGTTCCAGCGTGAAGCTGCCACCGCTGTCTAGGAGCTGAGAAAGAAACGATGCTGTGTTCAGGCCAAGTGCTTTGGCTCATCTCATTTGGGTCAAATAGCTTTTTAAAAAATAAGCTTAAGATAAGCCAAACTCATTTCTTTTAGAATTTCCTAACTACTTGTGAAGGACACACTCAATATCAAGGCCCTTGGAATCATTTTTCTTAAGTTATTTATAAGACTTTATACAATTAAACATTCTAGAAAGGATATTAAAAGAATTTCTTTTCACAGAAGGAAGAAGGACTAGATGATCCCCAAATCTATTTCCATTACTCTGTCTTTTCCATTAGACTGTACTATCCTTAACACCTGTGTATAATTCAATACATGCAACTAAGAGATCTGCTTATTTATTTTTTAGGACTTTGCTAAGGTAGAAAAATCCATAAAATCTTATTGTTGACTCAGCTGTTAAACACAGAAAACGTTTACTATATAAAAAAAGTCCTACTCATTACATGTTCAATACGTATTTCAATTAACAAATTACATTTATGTCACATTTATGACCTTGGCATATAAAGCCATAATCTCTTCATCTATAAAATGAGGGGAAGAAAACATACTTCATAGGGCTATTGTGAGGATTAAATGAGAAAATGTTTATAAAGTTCTAAGCTCAGTGAGTGACCTACGAGAAACCTTCCCTACATCATAGGTGTCCTATGGTAAAAGCAGGTCTCTGAAGACACTGAAGTCCTTTGCATAATTGTCACAGGCGCTAAACATTATGTCCACTTGATGAAATCTGAGTAGCTCTTTTTTTCTACTTTATATTAGAGGTTTATATCATACCTTTGCTTTAATAAATTGTTGGTCAGATCTATGAAATATCTAATACCATATTCTGGCTTAGGAAGAACTCCAAATGATATTATTTTTCCTATGGGGAAAATCAGTTTTATTATGCTATTTCTAGCAATGTGTTGTGCAAAAATTAGAGACTATTCCTTTTTTCAAATTTAATATACAATGGGCGTTCAATTATTGATACTGACTAGCTGAGTCACAGAACTTTAATAATTACCATAAAAAGTAGCAGATTTGTGTCAGTTAGGTGAAGCGATGTGCTTGCGTGGGCCAATTCATTCTTTGAAACATTTACTCATGAGAAACCACCATTTGCTAAGCTCTACACTAGGCACCTGGGACAAAAAGGTATAAAAGGCTGGGACCCAATCCTCGAGGCATCCAATGTAGTGGGGGAAGTGTTTACTAGGTAAGTACATATCCCTAGGTGGCTATGACCTAAGACTGGTGGGGAAGGCCTCAGAGGAAGCAACACTTGGGCTGAGTCTTGAAGGATGACAAAGATATGAACAGAAGGCATTCTAGGACAAAGAAAAAGCATGTGCAAAGTCACAGAAGTAATTAACTTGGCATGCCATGCTCTGAAAAATGCAAGATGTTTAGTCTGTGAGGAAAGGTCAGTTTAGTAGGACATGCATCTAGAAAGGAAAGCAGTCTTTTACCTCATGAGGTGATAACGTGGGTCACACGCCACACTAAGGAACGTGAACTTATAGGAAAAATCACTAAGGCATTCGAGCAGGGACTGACAAAAATCAGATCTGCATTTAGACGCATCATTCTGGTAGTAGTGTGATGGGTGGCGGGGAGACTGAGAAAACAAGAGATAGTTTCTGAAATCCGAGAGAGACATAATGAGGAACTGAAACAAGCAGTAGCCGTGGGAATGGAAAATAAGGAGTGGGTAGGAGAGATATGTGGGTGATATTGTCTATACTTGGTCACTGATGGTATGCAAAGGGTGAGTGGGAATGACAGTCTCAAATGAGACTCAAATTTCTGACGAGCAACCAAGTGATGGTTGCTACCATTCACCAAGACAAACTAAATACCAAGAACAAACACATCTACCAAACCATACTGCCTTGAAGAGGACTTCTATTTAAAAGAATGGGGGGCAAACTTTACCTCTATTATGCTTCAGCCATAAAATCAGTTATGAAATTAAAAATTAATTCATTAATCAAATTTCTGTTCCCTTTACTGTTGCAATGCTCACACTATAGGAATTGATTTAAAACTACCCATAGAGAATCCAGTTGTTTGAAAAGAAATCTCTCCGATGGTTTTCCAAGTTTGGTATACCACACCTGCAGCTCTGGTATTTCACTCTAAGGAGGAAACACAAAGAAAGCATAGTTGAGTGATTCATCATCTCCTCTTTGAGGATTTCTAAAATCTGTACCAGCAAGAATGAATCAATGACAAGGTGCATTCTATTTCTATTTACCAAAAGATCCACCTCAAATCTTAAATAGTAAACATTTTGAAAGTAGGAAGACATTATTCAAGCAAATACTTTATTTCTTAAAAATACTGCAGATTTTTGGCAAATGTTCAAAAAGATTTTAGTGTCTTTGCTTCAAAAATACTCATTATTATACCTATGTAAAAAGTTCTTTAAGAATTTTCTGGCATTAAAAAACAATTCTTACACGATTAGTAGAAAGAGCACTGTATTTCTGTATTCAAATCTAACAATAGGTAGAAATAACAAGAATCTTGTCTCTTTTTTTTGTACAGAGTACTGTAAAGATCAACGTTTGAAAGTTCCCTCAACTGCACAAATGATGCTCTACCAAAAAGAACAACTTTCTTGCAAGTGACCTTTGTTAGGATTCTTCAGAACCACAAAGAGCATTACCTCCTAGTGGCTTCTGTATGTTTGACCAAAACTAGTCAGCAGACATAAGACACCAAGGCATTTACCCATTCATATGCAAACTCTTAATCACTTGTAAGACTTCACTTAAGAACTGCTAGCCCGTGATAAAATATATAAATTCTCAAATCAAAATCAAAATAAAAGTTCCACTTATTTACTTACAAAAGAACCCTTAAGGATGAAGGTAGCAAATTGTCGTGAAACATTGAAATAGGGAAGAAGTGGCCGTATACACATGGAATGTTTATGACTCTGAGTAGAAAAAAAAAAAAAAAAAAAGAATCATGTAAGTTATCCGAATGATATACAAGCCATTTGGGGGGGAAAAAACAAACAAACATTTAATGCCTATAGATTAACAGAAATGACACATAATAGGTGACAAATAACAGTTTATTTCAAACTTTTAAAGACTTTTTTCTTAAAAACCTTTATTGAATGTCTATTGTGTATGCCTAGTCAAAGTAAAACTCAATGGCATTTTGACTGAATCAAACTTTGAATTCCAGTCATTTGATGGCACACAGATTAATTTTTATGTTCTGTTTTCCAAGTAATATACATCAAAACAAAAGTAAATCTTGGGACATTTTCACTGAAAAGGCATCTCATCTATATATAACCTTCAAATACACAACTGAGGTCAGCTAAATACATATAACAAATCTCACTGCCAGCATCATTTTTTTCAAAATAATCAGTACAATGGGCTGGGATCAAAAGAAGTCTGAGACATCATCCCGACTTTAGGGGATTCAACAATCACAGAGGACTTACAATATAAGGTTCTGGGACAGGCTTTGTGGGAAAATTTTAAATTACAATTACAGTTAGAGATTTCAATACCTTTCCTTAATAACTGATATACCACTAGACAGAAGATCAACAAAGACACAGGTGATTTGAACAACACTACCAAGTAACTTGCCTGGACTGACATCTACAGATCACTTCATCCAGCAATTGCAGAATGCATATTCCTTTCAAGTGCACAGGGAACATCGACCGAAGTACACCATATTCTTAGCCATAAAAGAAGTCTCCATAAATTAAAAAAGATTCAAGTCACAGAAAGTCTGTTCTCTGACCACAATAAAACTAAATCAGAAATGAATAACAAAAATCTCTGGAAAAATTCCAAAATATTTAGAAACTAAATAACAAATTTCTAAATACTTCATGCCTCAAAGAAAAAATTTAAAATACAAGGTGAAATTAGAAAGAATTTTGAGCTGTATGAAAAGCAAAACACAACACATCAGGATTTGTGGGATGCCACTAAAAGAGTAGTTAGAAAAAAATGTAGAGCACTGAACACCTAGATTAGAAATGAAGAAAGGATTTGAGACTTTAGCTTAAGATACTAGGAAAAGAAGAGCAAATTAAAAGCAAAGTAAGCACAGGGTATGTATGGGATTAAGAGACACGAACTACTATGTATAAAATAGATAAGCAGCAAGGATATACTGTACAACACAGGAAAATATAGACATTATTTTTTAATAATTTTAAAGGGAGCATAATTATAAAAATACTGAACCACTATGCTGTGCATCTGAAGCTAATATAATATTGTAAATTGACTACATTTCAATAAAAAAATTTAATTAAATTTAAAAAAAGTAAGCAGAGGAAAGAAAATAATAGAGATTAAAGGATAAATCAAACAAAAACCAGAAAAACAAGAGAGAATAATTGAGAAACCAAAAGTTGACTCTTTGAGAAGATTAACAGAATTGAATAAACTTCTAGCCAGACTAATCAAGAAATCAGGATAAAAAGAAAACACAAATTGCAATTATGAACATTAAGAAAGGTGACATCAATACAGAGTATATAGATATTAAAAGAATAGTGGGGAATAATATCAATAACTTTGTGCCCAGAAATTTAACAACTTAAAAAGACAAATTTCTTTGAAGACACAAAAACCCAGTGCTCACTGAAGAAGACATGGACAAACTGAATAGCCCCGATATCTGTAAAAGAAGTTGAAACTGTAGTTAAAAAGTTTCCCACAGAGAAAATTGTGGTGCCAGATGGCTTTACTGGGAAATTCAAGTCAACCTGGGAGCTTTGCTCAAACAGGAAGTAAGAGCTAAGGCAGAGTTGTAAACTGCCTGCCTGAGTATTGAGGCATGCCCCAACTGTGCACACAGAGCCCATCAGCAAAGGCTGGGACACTTGCTAGTTCCAAACATAAGGAAATCTGTACACTCATGATCTGACCACTAAGATAATTGAGCAGAAGCTTCAGTGGCCACAAATGATAAAGCTAACAAACTACAGAATTTGTTCAGGAAAGTCACAAAGCAAATAAACAGCAACAACCACAACAAAGAGCAACAACCACAAATGCTAGATAGGAGGAAGAATCTGATCTCCACAGTCTCCATGTTATTTTATGTAATGTGTCTAGTGTTCAACAAATCATTATGAGATTTGCAGAGAACCAGGAAAGAAAGGCCCATACACAGGCATAAGAGCAGTTGACAGAAACTATGTCTGAGAAACCCTAGTCATTGCTTATTAGATATTAGACTTCCTAGACAAAGACATTAAATCAGGTATTTAAATATGTTCAAAACACTGAATGAATAATGAATAAAGGAGAGATCTGCTTCCAGAATGGCAATGGGAGGAGCTCCATGAACCTGCTCCCAGTGAACCTGGTGAAAACTATTTAAATAATAATTACAATAAAGTCTCTGGAAATGGTCCTAAGGCCATGCAACAAATATAGAAACATTTATTCAATAAAATCTACTAAAACTCATGGCATTTAAACCATGATCGACTCCCTCCCTGTCCCTCTCAGCCTAGAGTGACAGAAACTCCATGCCAAGTAGGTACAGCCAAGAACACAGGGTTCCCTCCCTCCCAGCTCCCAGATGAAGACAACAATATCTTCGTGAGAGAAGCAGAATATCAGCATTTCTCACCCCCCTTCCCCTCAGCTACTTGATGCTGAGGACAAGTAGCCATGAGTGTGGCCAAGAGGCTGAGGGTTCCCTTCCTCTGTCCAGGTTCCATTCACAGACTCACCTTAAACAAGGCACACTGAGAATATGGGGGTTCCAAACCCCCACCCAGCACCATACTCCTAAATCAGAGATGTCACTAAGAGAGAAACACACCCTTGTCCCCATCCCCAACTCCAAGCTTCAGCTCAGAGATTTCGTCCAGGGAGAGAGACAGGTTATAAAACAAAGAGTTCAGAAAGTCTCCCCAAAGAAATTGATTGTACTTAATGCAGAGCATGGGGAAGTTCAAGAGTAAGGGTGCTCTTAAAAATAATGGAAGTTTTGGTGGCAAGCAAATAAAAAGAGACTGTCAGCTTCATTAGATGCATAAGCTAAACCACTGCCCAGCTATTTTGACAGGGAGAACCACAAAAAAAGAAAGCTAAGAAGAACCCTCCTGATGTCAGAATAAACCTAAAACACTAACCTCAAAATCCATCTCTGCAAATAAGCTGGAATTTAATTGGATCAGCTCATAGAGCAATTTAAGCCCCTGAGCATTGCTGAAAACAATAGAGCAATCCACCAGTAATCAGTGAGGCAATAACAGAGAGGTGCACCTGCCCAAAGTTGCACTGTCTAAGAAGCCACATTTGAGGCCAACCAACCAACATTTGAGGCCAACCAACCAACATTTGAGGCCTCTCAGTGCGAGGGAGGGGGTGGGTGGGTGGGTGGGTGGAGGGGATAAACTTCACTAAATTTCTCCAGCCAATCACTAAGCAAACAAGCAAGCAAACAACAAACCCCAGGAAAGGAGGGAATCAGTACCCAGAGTTACCACAATATATTATATAAAAGGTCTGGCTTTCAACATAAAATTAGGAGACATTCAAAGAAACAGAAAAGTGTGGCCCGTACACAAAAACTAGGCAACAGAAACCACCTGTGAGAGCAACCAGATGCTGGATTTAACAGTTGAAGACTTCAAAGTAACCAATATAAATACATTTAAAGAACTAAAGGAAACAAGGCTTAGAGAAGTAAAGGAAGATATAATCACAATGTCTCATCAAGCAGACAATATCAATTAAGTGACAAAAAAATTTTAAAAGAACCAAATGGAAATTCTGAAATTGAAAAATATAATAACTGAAATGAAAAATTCACGAGAGGGGTCAACAGTAGATTTGAAATAGCAGATGAATTAGAGGATTTGAAAACAATCGATAGAAATTGTGCAACCTGAGGAACTGAGGGGAAAAAAAAACAAAGGATAAAGAATAATGAACAGAACCTCAGAGAAATGTGGGATACCCTTAAGTACACCAACATATATACAATGGGACAGTAGAAAACAGTGGAGAAAGGAGCAGAAAATATATTCAAAGAAAAGTATCTGAAAACTTTACAAATTTGATGAAAAACATTAATCTACAGATCCAAGAGGCTCAACAAACTCCAGGAGGAATAAATACAAAGAGATGCACATACAGACACCCAGTAAAAATGCTGAAAGTCAAAGAAAAGAAGAAAATCTTGAAAGGAACAAGATCATTTACAAGGGAACCTCAATAAGATTAATAGTTGGTTTATCACCAGAAACAATGGAATACAGCACATTCAAGGAAAAACAGTCAGCCTAGAATTTTATATTAAGCAAAACTACCTTTTGAAAAATGAATATCTCACTGGAATGCAGCTAATAGAAATCTGAAGTAGACTCTAATAAGTCAAGATTTCTACACTAAATCCTGGAACAACCACTTAAGAAAATAACTCACTAAAATATAGTAAAAAAAAAAATTAAAAGAATTTAAATATTACATCACAAAATATTGACTTATTGCAAAAGAAAACAGTAACAGAAGAATAGATGAACCAAAATAATGAGACGTATAGAAACTAAAAAGTAAGCTGAAAGATGTAAATCCAACTATATCAATATTAACATTAAATGTAAATAGATTAAGCAATTGAATCAAAAGGTCAGACTAAATTTTTCAAAAAGCAAGATCCAACTATATGCTGTCAAAAAGAAAGACAACTTAGATTCAAAGAAACAAACAGAGGAGGTTGGATCAAGATGGTGGAGTAGGAGGATGCGGAGCTCACCTCCCCCCACAAACGTGTCAAAAGTACATCTACCTGTGGAACAATTCTCAAAGAAAACTAACTAGGAACTGGCAGAAGAACTTCTATACAACCAAAGCTGCAAGAAGGATCTCCACGTAACTGGGTAGAATGGGAAAAAAGGCATAAGGTTGGGTCCTCCACCCCTGGAAGGGATCTGAAAGGAAGAGAAGGTTTGCTCTCAACCTGGAGAGTGAGTAGGTCAAGGCACAGACTGGCTGTCCGAGTCCTGGGATCCTATGCAGAGGAGAATAGCTCCCCTGTTTTTTACTTTTTTAAGAAGGTGTTCAGTTGTGTTTTATGCTATATTTTCCAATACTAACAAAGTGAATTAATCCAATAAAAACAACAAAGAATTACCATAGTTTCAACGATGATGGTGAGGTTACCTAAGCCATCCGTCAGAGCTACATAGCTTCCTCCTTTTTCTAAATGGCCAACTGTCTTCAGGTAATACCAACCTGGTTGAGTAAACTGAGTGGTATGAGCTATAGACAAGCAGAGAAAGACCCAAATAAGATTAAAACTGTGATAACAGGATTCCGTCAAAAAATAAAAGGCTGTTTACTGATTTGAGTCTGAAAGAAAACAGAACATGCCACCCCAAAATGTGCCACTTTAGCATATGGATTATTTTGAGCTGATGGCAATCAAGACCTAGCAGACAAAAGAAAAACTTTTCTCTCTCCTTTAACTGCCTGAAAGAATTTAGATAGGGGACCTGGCACAGAAAGACAGCTACTACCAGAGACAACTTTGTATCTGAAAGATTCACCTGCATGGCAGGGCAAACATCTGTTCTTCTCTTCCTATGAACTGTCTTCCTACCCTTTGAAGCTCCAGGTCCCTATCCCATTCCTTAGCTCAGGATGGCATTATAAACCTCAACTGCCTGACTGCAAATTTGAGTCTCATATTTTTTTTTTTTTTTTTTTTTTTGCATTACGCAGGCCTCTCACTGTTGTGGCCTCTCCCGTTGCAGAGCACAGGCTCTGGACGTGCAGGCTCAGCGGCCATGGCTCACGGGCCTAGCTGCTCCGCGGCATGTAGGATCTTCCCGGACCGGCGCACAAACCCGTGTCCCCTGCATCGGCAGGCGGACTCTCAACCACTGTGCCACCAGGGAAGCCCTAGTCTCATATTTTTATGTACAAAATTAAATGTGCTTTTTTTCCTGGTGATCTCTCTTATATCCATTTAATTATTAGATTAGCCAAAGAACCTAAAAGGGTAGAAGGAAAACTTCTCCACCCCAAGTCTGATTGAGTCTAACAGCCATTTTCGATTTTGGAGAAGAATATTCACCAGTCTCATGTTTCAACTTCTAGTTAAATGGTACAATTATGGGAATATTCTTAGAATGACTGGTGAAAATAAATGAACCACACTCTGTCAGTTCAAGACTACTGAGTAAACCTTTTTTTACCAAGAGTAAAAAATAAAGTTATCCCCTCCCAACTTTTGATGATCTCTATTTAACCCATCCTAATATAACTACAAAGAATATGGTTTTTAAAAAGTTAACAAAATATTCCAAAAACTAAGCTTTATGGTTTAAAACAAGTTTATTTCCACAATATGTATTTATTGGGCACCTCCAAAGTTGGTCCTGAAAATGTACTGAGCAATATTCCTTGTCCATTTTGGGAGGTGACACAATTAACCAGTGACAAAATTAGAAAAGTACATTAGTTCATGTAGATAATGTGGGACCAATTATTTCAACATTTAAGGGGTTAACCAACCAGGATATACAAATCCAACTTAATATTTCCATATTTTTGAAATAACAACCTGAGTTTAGTATAATGTCATGGTTACATAATGTCATGACTACAAATCTCTGAGAAAAATGTATCAACTGAAAAAAAGCCTGGTCTTAGAATAATTGAGAATGGAATACAGAAAGTAGCCTAGTTATAGAATAATTGAGAATGGAATACAGAAAGTAGCCTAGTTACCCAAAAGGTTCTTACAAAACACTATGACAAATCTTGCTTGAAACAGAGACACACTTAAAACTAACACACACACACACATACATAGTGTTCATATAATCCCCTCTAAGTGTTTTCTGCTTTGTCTCTTAGAGAGTAAGTTAGGGATTGAGAGGTGGAATCTGAAACATACCTGATATCCAGATAGGAGCTTCTACTACATAGTGCCCGCTCCATGGCTCCTGAGCAGTCATCAGTCCACAACGCCCATATGGCAACTGTTCATAGTAACTAGCCACCAAATTCCAAGCAATTGTGCTAAAAGATTTGTTTGATAAAAATGAAACACCAAAGCAGCTTGTAATAGAAATGTAAATATCTACAAGCCTATAGTAAAAAAGACCTTATCAGAGTTTACACAAATATATGTAAATGACAAAAAATTACCACCAAAAACAAGAAAACATAAGTTGCCTAAAGTTCACCCACACTTTGAAAAATCAAGTATTGGATGCATCTAAATATTTTTAATGGTGAATCATATAATAAAAAATACAAATGTATATGAGGTGTACAGTTTTACTGACGAATGGTGTAACCAGAAGATGAATCATGACCTACCAGTACCAGACATGTCACAAATGTGAGTCAAATACAAATAAAGGCGTTATCCATACTTGCTTTTCTTTTGACGGTCAGCATTCTAAATGCCCCAGTTTCAAGACATAATTTTATGAACTTCACTCTGAGCTGTTGCAAAGTTTTACAAATGAGAACTCTTAGAGTCAGACTGCCAGGGTTCAAATGATGGTGTAGGCAAATAGGGTAAGGGTTCCCCAGAGGAAGAGAACCAGGCATAACTTTCTTGACATAAGAGAAGCCATTTTAGGCCTAAGCCATTTTGTGATCTAAGCCTGGCCACAATGCTTGCCCTTACAGAACAGGTCTCAGTAGTAAGTGATTTTAAGGGAATAAAAGAACATAAGAACAAACAGCTATTATCAGGCCAGGGAAATAACTTAACCATAGCTGAGACAATATATCAGACCCCAAATAAGCTCTATTATTTGCAGCTTCTTGCTTTTTCTTTTTTGAGTTGACACAGCTTAGGTATAGATATAGGTATGAAGGAAATAAGGCAAATGTTTAAAATCATTGCATTTAAGTTGTGAGACTATGGAAGTCCATTGTACTTTTTTCTACTTATCGTGTTTTGAAATGTTTCCAAATAAAAACCTTTAAAAGTTTCTAATAACTTACGCAGTCATGTAGCCATTGATATAATTCTGATTCAATATGCGACCCCAGCAGCCTGCACCCACATCACTATTTAAAGTGCTAAAATCTTCAGAAGACCAAAGTTTCTTCTCAGTCAACCTAGCGTCCTTTACTGTACGGGTCCCAGGGTAATGAGCTCTAGAAAAGAAAGGGTGGGAGAAAATGTAAAAAGGCCAGAACATGGCACTTATATCTATTTATTGAGTGAATAAAAATACACATCTTCTCCAAGATTTCTATTTTAAAATAATGGGCAGCTTCCAGGTGGCTGGCAGACTGTAAGCATCCTCTCCTCTTCCCACCCTGTGTCTCAGAACACCCTTAGAATGAGATAAGCCTATAACACACAGAATGGGAAGGAAGATAGCAATGGATGAGAAATTTCTTTCTGGAAACCATAACATGGAGGGAAGGATGTTGACAGGTAAAGGCAGCAGAAGAGGCCTAGAACACTCCAAAGATGAATGAGGTGGAGACAGGATTCAGACTTCCCAGGGGAAACAGAGAGCTTGGACAGTAGGAAGGAAGGAGTAAGAAAAAAACGAAAAATAAGACTAATGAGTCTATTATGTAATGTAGTATCTCCTCCCCTGCTCCCACTCCTCGTACGTAGACAGAGAGGCATTTATTGTTTATTCCCAGGCAAAAACAAAAACACTAAAACAGACAAAAATGCACAGAGAATTCTTCTTTGAATAACAAGAATAAACTATCTTGGGAAAACTATAAGTTTTATCCCAGAGCAGTGTGGTTCTCAACCTGAATGCTTTTTGCCTGGTGGAGAAGGCAGGGCAGGGCAGGATTTGCTACTGGCATCTACTGAGTAGAGGCCAGAGATACTGCTAAACATCCTGTAACACCCGTGACAGGTCCCAACAACAAAGAATTATCCAGTGAAAAGTATCAGTAGTGCAGAGGTTGAGAAACCCTGCCCCAGACTAATGAACCCCTCCCTTGTTCTAGCATTTGAGAGGAGTCAGCCTAAATATAAATGTATATTTATTGTTCTAAGAGTAAAATACTGCCATAATGATGATTGTGGAAGTGACTGATTATTGAATATAAAAACAATTAAGAAATTTCAAATGGAAAACAGAAAACAGACCAACAGTTAGTATAAGAATTAGAGAGCATATGAACCAAATAACTTTAGGGACAAGAGTGTATACTTTCTAGGCCAAGAACTATTTACAAATAAATTAACAATAATACAAGCAGAATAACAGAGATTGGATTATGTCATAATTCTAATCTTTGTGGTTTGGTGTAGTAGTATTCATAACATTAAAAGAATGATTGTGAAAACCTACTTTAGTTTTTACTTATTTAATTCCATTTAGATCATGAATCTTTTAAGAAAAAATTATCCTACTTGGGAATTAATTATACTAGTAAAGACGAATTAAGGCATTCCAGGATTTTGTAAGGAAGAAATGGATAAACAATAAAGAATATAAAGAATTAGGGAAAAAAAATGAGATTCCACCAAGATTTTGTTGAGTCACTGAACTCAGTTGAAAACAGGCATCTATCTATTCAGTATTGTAAATATATACAACAGAGACCCCAAGAGCAAGCCAGCACCTAACAGGATTAAGAAATTATTGTTCTGGTACTACAATTCCCAACTTGGAAAATCTGACTACTATTCTTTGAAATTATATAATTTTAATAAACTTTTACATTTTAGATTTATTCTATATCCCAGAACTTCATTCTATAGTCATGATATTTGGTTTTGACACCTCAACCAAATACTAATTTTAAGACTCATCTAGTTATCGCTCAGCCAAATGTATATTTGGTGTGTCTCTGGTAAAAAATACTTATATAAAAAAATAGTCTGGAAAATAATAGGCTATTATGTTATTAATGATCTCTAGATATTAAGATTTTGAGTAAGTTCTAATTCTATCTTTATGGCTTTCTACATTTTCCAAATTTTCTATAATGAGCATGCACTATTTTTAAAATCTGAAAAAGTATCTCTTTTAAAGTTACAGAAATAGGTATTATATCCCTCATTCAGAAAACAATGAAACTGTTACATTTTAAACCTGATTGATTTATCAAATGATCTGAGAAAAGAGGGGCAGAACTGATACTAAAATCCAGGTCTCTCCCAATGTCCAGATCCATAGTTCAACAAAATGTATAAGTTCTTTAAGAATATAATTTTTTAAATGCATATAATTAGGCAAAAACATCTCTATCATTTCATGGCATGATTTTTCAAACTTTAAATGACAAGATTAAGATCAATGAAAGTAAACCAAGGTTTATCCTAACAGAAAAATATATGTGTATTGAAAGAAAAATAGAACTTATGAATGAGGTGGATCATGGTAGCCCACTTTCTGAAACTCCCCCAGTACTCCTCCTGAAACCAAACAGACCAACCTGATGACAGAAAGTAAAAACCCACAGACAATATCCACATCAAATCTAGGTGACAGGGAATCCCCAGGAGCCTTGCAGCATCAGGACTGGCCAGGATCAACAGACAGAATATGGAAACAGTGGAAGTGAAAGGGGACTAATAGGTACTCACCGCCCCCCAGCAGCAGACTCTATCCTGAATGGAAGAATTGAGAACAACTGGCTAAACTGAAAATGTCTTTACAGGCTTAAATTGGGCCCAAGCGCCAAAAACAGTAAATTCACTAAGAGATCAAACACAATACTGTGACAGTTTAAACCAGATTTGTCCAATAGAAATACAATGTGAAGTGTACAGATAACTTTACATCTTCCAGTAGCTACATTTTTAAAAAAGCAGAAGAGAAATTTTAATTATATACTGTTTAACCCAATATATCCAAAATATTATCATTCAACATAAAATAAATATAAAAATTATTAATAACTTACTTTTTTATATTACATCTCTAAAATCCAGTGCATACTTTACACTTATAACATACCTAAATTCAGACTAGCCATATTTCAAGTGCTCCATAAACACATGTGGCTAGTGGTTACCATATTGGGCAATACAAGCTTAAACCCTTAACTATTTCAGAAATAGGTAGCAAACAATCCTTTCTGCAATGGTAGAGTCTCACCATAAGAATAAGCTGCTTAAATTAGAATCCAAATTGAATAAGACAGGAACACTTAGGATGAGAGAGAGACAACATTTAGACAGTAGGGAGAATGGGGCCCAGAGGAAGCAGACCCCAGAAAGTACTGTAACTGCAAAACAAAAATCTGCAAACATAGCGCAGGTCAAGCACAACATGAATGGGGCAGGGAGGCATACTCTTTCTATGGAGGTGGGAGCCACAGAATAAACATCTCCTGAACAAAATTCCATTGTACCACAATAGCCAAAACTTGGAAACAATCCAAATGACCTTTAACAAAGACTAGATGGATAAATTGTGTTATATTCCTACAACTGAATTCGAAACAGTAATTAAAATCAACATGACTTAATCTTATAAATATAGTGTTGACCAAAATAATAGATACTCTAAGATGCCATTTAAATAGTTTTTAAACAGGAAAAATTAGTCTATGGTGATAGAGGTCAGATTAGTAGTTGCCTTTGGTGCAAAATGAGAGGCTACTGCTTAGAAAGATTTCCAAGGGGAGAGCTTCATAGATACTGATAATTTTCTATTTCTTGACCTAGGTGGTAATTGTATAGGTATATTCACTTTATGATAATTCATTAAGCTATACTCTTATGATCTTCTATATGTATGTATGTGTGTGTGTTTGTATGTTATACTTAATAATTTGTAAGGAAATGAAATTATTAGACAACAGAGATATATAAAACTAAAGAGAGAATTACAGAATAATTATTTCAAAAAGAAAAAGCATTTTAGAAATGAAGACTAAAGTAGAAGGAACACAGATTAGACACTGTCTAATAAATAAAGAGATAAAAAAAATTTGAGAGACATATAGAATAAAGACAATATGCAAAGGAGATCCAATATGTGTAACTGGGCTTTCTACAAAGAAAATCAAAGTAATGGAGCAGGATGATTATTTAAATTAAGATTTAAGTAAAACTTACTGAAAAAAGAAAATACTGAAATATAGATATTCAAAGGGTGCACACTACTTACTGGGAAATGATAAACAGTATAAAAGTACTAGACTCTAAAGTTAAGGAGAAATATTCTTTGGACATACCAGAATTATGCCAAGTCATTTATAAGAAAAAATAAGTCTGGCATCAGAATTCTCAACAGCAACATTTTATGTAAGAAACCAACAGAGCAAGTTTTATGATACTCAAGAATTAAGAAAATATGAGTCAAGGATTTTATACCCAGCCAAACTGTCCTTTGAGTCTAAAGGCCACAGATATATAGTAATAAACATGTAAAAGTTCAAGAAATATGTTTCCATTAGCACTTTCTGAGAAATATAGCAGATATTAAGCTTCTGACACTCAAGAGACTAAAGGAGATACTTCAGCAAAAGACTTACAGGTGAGCACTGAATATGCTTAACAGTAGAGTTTGACTAAAAGAAAGGGTAATTAAATAGTATATAAACATTACATTTTCTAATAATGTATAACTAATATAGTTGACACAAAATAAAAGGAGGAAAGAAAGTGAAATGTAAACTAAGTTTGCCAGTTAGCTGGGAGTAAAAGATTACAACTTGCAGCTGACAAATCAAGAGCATACAAGCTTATGCTCATGTAAGAGCACAAAGATTAAGAAACTCTGGTAATTAAAATTCCATCGTAGGAGAGAGGGGGAGGAAGAAGTGGTTATAAAATAATTTTAATATTAATTATAGTAAACGAATAGACAATGTCTAAATAGAGAGAGAACCAAGATTATTAATATAGAGCAGATCTCAACTTCAGCACTACTGATATTTTGGCTGGATAATTCTTTGTTGTGGGGCAGTTATCCTGTGCATTGGAGGATGCTGAGAAGCAACCCTGGCCCCCACCCATCAGATGCCAGTAGCACCTACGCCAGTGACAGTCAAAAATATTTTCAGGGCTTCCCTGGTGGCGCAGTGGTTGAGAGTCCGCCTGCCGATGCAGGGGACGCGGGTTCGTGCCCCGGTCCGGGAGGATCCCACATGCCGCGGAGCGACTGGGCCCGTGAGCCGTGGCCGCTGAGTCTGCGCGTCCGGAGCCTGTGCTCCGCAGCGGGAGAGGTCACAGCAGTGAGAGGCCCGCGTACCCCAAAAAAAAAAAAAAAAAAAAAAATTTTCAGTTATTGCCAAATGTTCTGTAGGAGGCAAAATTATCCCCAGTTGAGAGCTACTGGTATAAAGGTATCAGCATAAATGTAATCAATAGAATCAAAACTTGTTAAATAACAAAAAAGACACTTCATTTAAATAGAGCAAAGAAAACAAATCACGTAGGAAAAGAATGTGTGTGGGGGTGTATTATATATATAAATATAAATATATATATATGGTACAAATCATTAAATGACAAACACAGTAGAAAAGAAAACAAAACCTTCAGGTATATCAATAAATATAAATGAGTTAAACTCACTAAAATATGGAGATTTTCAGAACAAAATCTGAACCTATGCTATATGCAGCATCACAACTAAAACAAAATTACCTTGAAAGGTAAAGAATAAAAGTATGGGCAAAGATTCTATCAGGCAAATACAAATGAAAAAAAAAAAGGCAGAGTTCTCTCTTAGTTACATGCAAAGCGAAATTCAACCAAGAGGCATAATATGAGACAAAGAATGACTTTTTCTAATAATAAGTTACAAACCATAATAAAGATAAAACATTACTAATACCTATGTACCAAATAACACAGCAACAACTTTCAAACAGCAGAAATTTCATGAGATTGAAAGGAAAAATAGAAACTCACTAATAAGAGGAAACTAACACTCTTAGTAACCTTGGATAGTTTAAGTGAACAGAATAATTAGAATACAGAATAGTGAAACAATGCAATCAGTAAGGTGGATAATATACACTCAGTTCTCATATCCTGATAGAAAATATACCCTAATAAGATAAAAAGAAGACTTTGGGAAATTTTATGAAAAAAATTAAATAATACATTCAGCATTAAATGACCATAATGCAGTAAATTAGAAAATAATGATTAAAAAAAACAGACTCCATGAGATAGACCTAAAGCAGCACTCAAAGGAGAATTCATTGCATAAGATACCAACATCAATAAAGATAAAATGAATTAAACATCCAACTTCTTCATGAAGATACAGTGAAACCCACACTTTCATTTATTTTTTCCTAGCCAAATATATTCAAGATCAACACAACTTTTTTCCCTCAAGATTTGACCTATTTATGCAAGTTTTAACAATAAAGGCAAAAGTTACATTCTAATGTCAATGTATAAAATATTAAAATACATTTTACTTTTCTTGCCAAAAAATAAATAAATAAATAAGCCTAAATCTAATCTAATCACGCCTCTATCAATTTCTAACAAGAAACAGGATAGATGAGCATTTTAAACTTAACTACAAAGATGAAATCAGTAAAATCCAGACTGTGAGAAGCTTTACAGGACAAACAATCCAGTTTCTTCAACAAATGAAAGGAAAAAAAAAGAGACGGAGTAAGAACCAAAAAATTAGAAGAGACTTAGATATCAACTAATCATAATGTATGAATCTAAATTGGATCCAGATTCAATCAAATAAAACTATAAAATAACAATAACAGATATTTGATAATATCAAGAAACTATCACATAGTTTCTTGTGATAATAGTATTATTTATGGTGAAATGAAAGAGTTTTTATCTTGAGAGATAAATGGTAAAATTTTTATGGAAGAAATAATATAATGTCTGGGATTTGCTTCAAAATAATGTGAGGAGGAAGAAAAGAGGAATGGATAGGCATGTGAATGGAGAATTGTTCATGGGTTCATAGTTATGGAGGCTGAATGATGGGAACGTGAATATCCACCATATTATTCTGCCTATTTTTGTGCACATTGAAAATTCTTCATTAAAAAAAAAAGCACACATAGTTCAAGCAGAGCCTTCACACTGAATAAAGAACAAACTCCACATATATATGTATTCTATTTTTCAAATGTTTATATACATTATCATGATAGACAAAATTCAAATACACTTAAAAGAAAAAAATACTGCTGGAACCCAGTGAGGTCAAGGCCCCAAAGGCTGAAAGGCAGAACTGGACTAAGGAGCAGGGTCAAAGCCACACCGCTAAGGATATGTGACAAAAGTCACGGTCAGTGATCATACCATACCATTTACCTAAGTGTTCATGAACGCCCAAGCACAGGAAGTCTGAGGGTTAGGAACTAATTTCACAACACTGCCTTTATAATTTCTAAAATGTAAACACTACTCTGCCCCTTAATCTAAACAAAGCCATGTTTTATTACTCCAAACATTAAAACAATATTTTAAGTTACCAGTACATTATTCCATTGTCATAGAAAGATTCCCAAAGTATATACGTTTCAAAGAAAAAAGGAATGAAATATCATTTATACATGCTTTGGTTAAATAAATACAAGAAAGCTACCTTCTGAAAATATAATCAAATGGGGAGAAGCAGGCAAAAACAAAGGCACAGTCAATATCCACAGCAAGCAGTCAGAAACTTAGTTTTCAAAGTAAAACATTCCTTACCCTATGACATCAATCACCCTCAAGAGCTCAGAGTCAAGCAGCATAGAAGCAGAAATGGGCTCCCAGAGATTATCACTCGCTATGATTTTCACTTGCTGGAGACCTTGATAGTTCAGCATTCTTCTTAACACCTTTCAGAGAGAGAAGCAGAACATAGGAAAGGTTAAAAATGAGTTTTCAGCAGCTGAATTACAATGAAGAAAGCTAAAATGTCTTCAAACTCAGCATCCTGGATGATAGTGTCAATATTATTTCTCAATAGAAATGTGCCCCGTGTGGGGGGAAAAAAGCATTATCACTAAGATAATCCACTTCATGGGAATGTAAGGAGAAAAAAAAAAAACGAAGAGGTAAAAATGTTTTAGAGGGATTTTCCCTCTGAATTTAAAATTACGTTTAGCCATAGAAAATTTGGGTGCAAGGGTGGAAATTTTTTAAAAAAAATCAGAGCAGTACTACCCATAAAAAACCCACTATTACCCTGGTATGCATTTTTTCATGAATTCTCTTATGCAGACACAATAAATTGGGATCAAATTAAATATACTATTTGGTAAATAAAATGCTTTAACTTAGTTTATTTTGAGTATTTTCCAATGTCTTTAAATATTCTGCCATTACTGAAAAGATTACAGTTCTTAGTATTTTGTACCATACTAGAAGTAAAAATAAGAAATATTCTGCTGTTACCCTCAAGTCTTTAATAGGTATACACAGGGCAGGCAATAAAATCTGCCTGTAGGACTACCCACCCACCATATTAAAAGTAACAAGCTAACTGTAACAGGAAATAAATGAACAAAGCACAGAGTGCCTACTCTGGTATTTAGTTCTGTATCTGGGCCCCATGAGGACTCCAAAAAAAGCACAAGATGGGGTCCTCACCGTTAGGTGGCAAACACACTCACCAGGACACTAAAACTAACAGAATGTCCTAGAAAATCAGAGAGTAGTATATACTGAAATGTATGGATTGCCAAAATATAAAACAAGACAAGAGAAAAGAAGTCATTATTTCACCTAGGAGAAGGAGGTTCAGATTTCAAAACAGAAGTAGTTTTGTTTTGTTTTTAAATAGATCTTTATTGGAGTATAATTGCTTCACAATACCGTGTTAGTTTCAAAACAGAAGTAGTTCTTGATGAATGGGTGTGAATAAACCCACTGCTATACGCCCAAGCACTCTGAACTGTCAGGTTCATAGTAGCAGGTGCTCAATAAACATTGGTTGAATTAATTAAGATAAGAAAGAACAAAGATTTTCACAAGCTCTCTTTTCACTTTCTAACTTTTCTGAACTAAAGAAATTTCCAATTAATGTGCTCTTTTAGGAGGCAAATAATAAATCAATTCCACTCTGGAAGAAATCTGAACAGATCCTTAATAGTAAATAAAGACCAACTCTCAAGATTCAGTAGGATTGAGACTCCCAAGCTCTCTATTAGGAGACCAATCTTGAGTTTCATCACCCTGAAATTCTTTCTTATTCTTACAGAGAGGAAGGAGAACAGCTTAGTCACATTTGCATTTATCGCAATATTATATCTAGTTTTTCTAGTGCTATTCCTAGACCATCACCTCTAAGATTGCTTACTTTTAAGTAAGTATATATTCAAATAATACTCCAAACTATACAAGCCTATAAGCTATGTTTTATAATAGATTGCCAAAATCAGTATGAATAGCAGCATTCTTTGAGCAAAGTTTTATCTAATGTATTCCAAATGTTTTTGCTGTGGAACCCATCCCTTTCTGCCCCCTAAAAAGCCTAGATAGAAACCCTACCTATAAGAGAAATGAAAAGGAAGCTGTTCTGATTGGACTGAATGAGAGTCCAGAGACTCACACATCCATTTCCGTCCACCACCCTCAGATCCTAGACGGGATTTTCCAGACACAATTTTAAAACATCACTGAAAACCAGAGTAAACCATAAATACAATGTAAATAGCAAAAATAAAAGAAATAATAGCCTTGCCACCTTTACATACATTGCTTGTTTGTACTGTGTTTATTTCTACTCTTAAAAACAAATCCTCATTATTTCCAGGGGCCATCTTATTATACTATACGGAATATACATTCATTAAGCTTATCAAATCTGAACACCTACATTCATCTGCCATTATTGAACCCTTTCAATAGGCATTTTGACAAACAGGATGCAGATTCCAATAAAATCTTGCTACAAAAATGGCAAATGCAAACTAAAAGTTATTTCCTGAGACATGTTACTGCAGGTAAACTAAAGTTTCAGGGAAGAGGAAACGAAGTCTGAACTGTTTGAAACACTGATGATGAGTCTTAGAACAGGAATTACAGTCTTTCAAATCAGGTAAGCTGAATTAGAATGCAGTGGAATCAGCAACAGACTCTTAATAGTAAAAAACTAAATAAATAAAATAAAATAACCACCTTAGTTGCAGACCATTAGTTTAAAAGAAAAAGGGAACTAAATTCTAATTCTTCCATCAAATGAAATGAACACAATTAAAGAGACATGTATAATCCCAAGGAGAAAAAAAAACTATGAAATGTCAAATTTGGGAAGATGGAAGTCCATGACTGCAGCAACATGGTCCACCTGACTATAGGGTTACACAGGACACAGCCACTAACTTGGCTTCTGCTCTGTCCCCCTGCTGCTCTCATCAGACCTACCTGCACTCACAGCAGTCATAACTTTCCATGAACAACTCTTGTGCTTCAATCTTACACTAGTTCCACTGTCCCACCTCCACACCACCACACTCTCACCACTTCACTGGTAATGCCTACAGCATGGAGTTAACTTTGAGTTACCTGGCTCTGGCTGCATTCAGTCCTCTAAATCTATACCTTCTCCTCCCCACAACTAGTGATTAAATTGTGCTGTTACTGCAGTGAACATAATGGCCTACTGATGGCTCAGTGCCCCCACTTGTCTAATCCATCTTTCTCCACTTGCTCTTCCCCCAAATCCCTTTACCTCCCAGTCTTCACTTCTCAAAGGCATGGCCCTGCCTTAGCAACTTGGGGAGTTCCTATCCATCCCACCTTGAAGATTCCAACTAGTCTTCCAACAGACTTCCCAAATCCACTCATGCAGAGGTGTCACCCCCTCTCTGTACCTTCTGACAACCCTGTGCGTTATTGTGCCAAAGAAATTATAGCTGATATCTTAGTTGTTCATATGGGACTCTACAGTCCCCAGATGTTAACTCTTTTGGGGCAGAAACAGTACTTTTTATCCTTGTATTCCAAGCATGTACACAATGCCTGACAAACTAGGTGTTGAGTAAATGCTTCCTGGCAGACTGAATGAATAAACGAAAGAAATTTAGTGGATATTACCTGCTTAAAAACATAAGACACTCAATTTAAAGAAAAAAAACTTTTAAACTGAAAGAAAATATAACCACAAAATTATATTTCTTGGAGAAAAGACACATAAAACAAGACAAATATAACGATAAAGTAAACTAAAGAATATCTCCACCTGAAAAGTTAAACTGCCATTTGTTTTCCAATGACAGAAGGGATTATTATTCTCAGATTTTCCTTTTCTGAAAAATAGAAATAATAGTAGTTACCTCATAAAGGAGGTAGTAAGCATTAAATAAAAATAAATATTTAGGGAAAGTGGCTCAAAAAGTAACAACTTTGCAAATGTTAGTTGCTACCTATTTGCTAATCACAAATAGAAACATCTAACACACTCCAATATAATAGGCATTCCACAGAAAACAAGAATGAGATTATATACTATAAATTTTGATATATGATGGTGAAAGAAAAATCTACATTTCTTGACGTCCTTAAAATCTAAAATGATACAATTGTTTTTATAACGATTATCATAATTCCACAAATAATGAATATTTAAGTAGGAAAACTCAACACAACTCTACAGACAAAGGCAATTTGGGGCATAGAGGGAATTACATATGCCTTAATCAGGAATATAAATATTATTAACATTTTGCTTGAATTTTATGTTATAACTAGCAAAATAAATAACTGTGCTATAAAAAATATGGTGTTCCTACTACTAATTTCCGTGAAACCATAAAAGAATTTTTCACTAATAACTTAAAGATAAAAAGACTTTAAAGTTGTACAGACCTTGATATAATTGATGTCAAATGCCCTCTCATTCCAAATCTGCAAAACAGAAAGTCAAAATGTCAGAACTGAAAGTTTTTGTGTCAGAAAGCAAATATTATCATTAATATTAACCTTTCTCCATTAATATTATCTCTCATCATCTTTCTTATCATCTGAAAATCCATTTTTCTTACTTAAGGGAATGTCCTGTTATTAAATTTATAGATATTTATAAGACAACATAATTTTTAATTAAAATGTTATTTTTAAAAACCTTAAAATATTTGGTGGGTATTTTTCAAAAAGTCACCTAATTCCAGAGATTTCTAAAAATGGAATATCCATTCAATCATTCAACAAAGATTGACAAGGCAATGTATGCCGAGGACTATAGCAGGCACTGGAGACCTAACAGACACGGGATTGTTGTAATAATTCTTATAAGATCCCTACACACACACCCCAAAGCCAAGTATTAATAAGGACAATGTACAGGAGTAATTTTTTTAGTGCACACAGAGAATCACAACGATGTGCCACATAACAAAAGCAAACTCTTAATGAAGACAGATAAATGGAACATGCACAAATCTCTCAGGCTTAGAATCATGTAGCAGGAGGTTTTAGAGTTAAAAGAGAACTTCCACAACTTTCAGTTTGTAGCTGAGAGATGGGCCTAGCCTCCAGGTACTCTTTTCAGCCTCCAGTGATACTGGAAAGTGTTCTTATCAAAGAAGCTTCCTCACCATAGCTTGTGATTATCAAGAGTCTAAAAGAGATGTGAATAACCCATTATTTACCAGAAACAATTTCTAAGTGTGACTTTACCATAATAGAATGCTGTTTGACCCAAACCTACATTTAGTTTCACTATGGCTTAAACATACCCTGACATTTAAGAAAGTTCTCAAACAATTTTGTTGTAATCTGGGGAAGGATAACAAAAACAAGTATATTCTTGATTCTGGCTTCCTAGAGCCCTTGGCTCATCCTCATGTCCTATATCATGTCCTGTGATACTGTAGTTTATCTGCTCCTGTGTCTGCCTCTCTCACTGAACTCCTCAAGAGCTTATTAATCTTGGTATCCCTAAAACATAATAGTCACAATGCCTCGACACAGTAGAAGCTCAATAACTGCTTGCTAATTGCATGAAAACTTTTAAAATCAGTTTTGACAGACAGCATATTAACAAGCAAAAGTGTATAGAGACCCACTATGAGTGTGTGTGAGGCTCTATGGGGTACAGTGCAGGGTGACGTATCCCTCCAGCCTGCCAACAGACCAGCTAGAAACACAAGATATCATGTTTTACATTTTTAAATCATTAAAAGGTGTTAAATAACGGTTTAGGAAAAGGGTAGGCAGATTTCTGCCAGCTTGCCAAATCTGGCCCACCATTTGTACTTTTTACAGCCTGAAAGCTAAAAATGGATTTTAACAGTTTTAAGTGGTTACATTTTAAATGATTATATAATTACCTACATAATATCCTTAATATTGCCTTTTGATCCACAAAGCCTAAAATATTTACTCTCTGGCCCTTTAAGAAGAAGTCGGCCACCCTCTGGTTTAGGACCACGGAAGACTCACGGAGCAAAATGAGATTAATCATTCATTAAACTATATAGTAAACACAATATTGTTGTAAGAACTAGAGAAACTAGGGAAAGCTTGGAAGAAGGAGAATTTGACCTGGGGTAGTACCAATAACAAAAACAAAGAAATAGTTCCGGGAGGCATATACTAAGTACAGTTTTCTAAAGTGGGAAGAATTTGGATGGGCAGAGAGAAAGAATAAATGGTGACATGTAGTTAATTTGTTAATAGACACCAATAGAACAAATTAGTCTCATGACACAAAGCAGTCAACGAAGTACCACAAATTACTTTAAAAATTATAAATAAATGTCCAAAGGTTAATCATGTTCTAAAAAATATATTACTAACTCCGATATAATCAATGTCCAGATCATGATAATGCTTGGCGCCCACAATCCAACTCACGACATAGTAGGCAGTCAGCTGAAGATTTACATAAGGCCAGTTGAAACCTTTCCCCAGCCATCCAGGGAACGACCATGGCAGCCCTGCAGAGAGGAAGAGGCAAAGTTGGAGTAGGTATAAGAGTGCTGGCACTATTAAAAACAAAGCAAAATAAATCAAAAAGAACAAACACAGGCTAAGCAAAGAGCCAATAAAGATCTGACTAAAGGAAAGATTACACATCATGCACAAATTCTCAAAATCCCTTCCAGTTTATGAACACAGTAATTCCTTATTGACCCCGAGAGTCAGGTTCCATAATTCCAAATGCTCTTTCAAGAAAAACAAATAAAAATAAACAAAAACAAACACCTCTCTCAATGATACTTACCAATATAAAGAAGTGTAACCTACAATTTAATTTAACTTCCACACCTCCTGCTAAAACGATATACAATGTTCAATTTTTATTCTCTAAGGTCAAATCAAAGAGTTTTGAAAGGCTTATGCATAACTATTTCTGTGAGGTAAGTACAATACAAATTCCTTATTCACTAGTACATCTTCTTTCAACCTGAAGCTATTTAAAGACTAATTAGTCAGGTAATCAAATTTAACAAAACTAGTTTGTCCTATGTCAATACAAATGCCATTGACTCAATAGGGAAATATACCTTTGTTACAGGATATAGAACAAATAATCCACATTCTTCTAATACCCGTTATTATTAACCAAAAAAAAAAAAAATGAGAAGAGTAGAGAAGCACTAATTAAGATTCTAAATCCCAATTCTCTTACTAATATATTAATATTAAAATAAGGTCAACATTAAGTTCCTTAATTGTTAATATATATTACCAATCTAGTTCACCACTGAAAAAAATTAAAATCAAAGTGACAAAATGCTTATTTTTCTAAACTCTAGAAGAATGCCTAAGTGTATCCAAATAATAAATGTGACATTAAAATAATGGAATGTTTTAAAACAATGAAATGCCAAATACATTCTGAAGGCCCACCATGTGAAGTCTTTGTTAGGACATGGTTCAGCATGCCAGATTTTCTGCATTTAAATTAGAACTGACCTTGAAAACAGCACAATGGGCAAGTATGTGCTGAAGTCAATGATGCTTTTTACTGCTCAAAACATTTCTGGAATCTCTTACAAAAGTCCATTTAGAAAGAACACACTGACCTCCTCATTTTTTTTTAACTTAGAAAAACTTATGCTTGTCCTTTAATTGGATGGTTGAAAATGATTTTTAAAATAACTTGAACTTAAGTCCTATAAAATGGATCTCAACTCATGTAATTTAGCCTGAATGTATAAGCCTGTTTAAAAAAAATCAAATTCATTTCAAATGATAAAAGTATGTCACCACTGTGTATGTTTGAAATCTTTTATAGGTCTGTGCACTGCTACAGGAGAACAGTGCAAGGAGTACAGTCCCATTTAAGAAACCATCCTGCCACTAGAATCTAAGCTCCACGAGGACAGGAATTGGGGGCTGGATCGTTCTAGGCATCCCCAGTGCCTAGAACAGTGACCACCACATCCTTGAGGTTCAAAACAAACACACATACAAACCAAAAAAAAACTTCTGTACGTACCTCATCTAGAAATGGGGTCTACTACTGCATGTAGCACACAATGCTGCATAGGGTATACAATTTTATAAATAGTATTGCCCTTTTACAAATTTTGATGAGAAATTTTGTTGAGGAAATTAGTATAGCACCACAGAAAAAAGAAAAAAAACAAAAAATCGAAAACAACAGAATAAGGTTCTAAACCTGATTTTGACATTTACTAATTTTAGGACCTTAAGTCAGTGCTATAAGCTCTCTAAGCCTCCACTGCCTGTAAACTGAGAAGAGTAATGTCTTACTCCAGAGGTATGATAAATATCAGACACAATATATATGAGCAATGAAGGAATCATGCCTGGCACATGCTTTGCTGCTGGTAGCATACTGGTAGTATTAACAACATTATTAATACTACAGTATTAATAGATACTCCACACACATGATTCAGAATTTAAAAATTAAAGGAAAACAGACTACAAAAGTACATCAAACTTCACTTCTTACCCATGAGTGTGATATTAGGGTTCCGCTTCTTAGCTTCCTTCATTAACCACCACTCATATCCTCGGAAATAATTCTCATCTAATGCATAGTGCATGTGGGAGGGCTCGGTGCCATCTGAATGGGAGAGAGCAAAACAGAAAGGAAACTATCTGTTAATGGTGCTTTGTAGGCCACTCTCCCCTACACACATACACACATTTCAGAGAAGTAGTATTCCAGAACCAATCCTGACGTAAGGCACATAAGAATAATCTTATATAACTTAAGGATGGATGATCAAAGCATATTATTTCATTTTTTCATTACCATAAGCATCATAAAGATCTTAAATTATAAAACCACAACTTTCTATTGTAAGCAGTGTTAAGAAAAGTGTTATCAACTCATATAATTGAAAATTCCTAGGACTATATTCTGCTGGGATTTGGTCTCTCTGGGGTTTTCAAATCCCTAAGTCCAACTTTAAGTTCAGATCACCTCAGCTTCCAGCTTCTCAATCCTAGATGTGAATCCTGGGCTCCAAAGCCCCAATTTCCATACCCCAGGCCTTGAGCCTGTAACATGCCTTGTTAAATCAAGACAACAGAATTTTGAGAAAAGAGGAACGAGTACACTTTCCCACTGTAAGAAAATTCTATACTAACCTCTACAGGGTGTCAAGGTAGGTAAGTGACACCAGTCCTCACGTGTTGCCACATTTCACAAACATCTGCCCTTGTTAAGAAGGGCCTCAGAAGGAGAGGGGCCCTAGCCCTTTTCTTCCTAAAGGTGAACATCAGAATTCACAAGAACTACCTGCTTCTGTATCTCTACCTCTAATTTAGCTTCAGCAAATGAAGGTGGCCAGTCATTATCACTTCTGCAAAATAGGGTTTGACAATAAAATGCATGTCTTTTATAATAGGTTGGGGATAGTTTTGTTATGGGATTTTCTTTTGTTTTTCATTTGCATTGTTTCTTTTCAGCATGAATTAAATACCAATTCCACTACGCAGATATATCTATTTAACAAAAGCCACTTCCAAGTCACTAACAGGTACATGGGTATATAGACAATACTCTAAGGTTCACTATAATGGAATCTAACTGATAAAAAATAAGTTATATACAATCATTGAGAGAATTTTCTTCTTCCTGAAAACCAGAGACCTATAAATTTTTTAATTGACTACATGTACTACACAAAGCCAAAATTATGACAATGAAGATTGGAAATTTAGTGGTTGAAAATGATTTTATTTTTAAAAGACAAAAAAGCTATATCTCTGAAATATCTCTGAAATTACTTATATTTTTGCCACATGTTTTTATTTAAAGCTAATAACATCTTACATATTTTATATATTAAAATCTTTCTTTTTTTAACTTCTCAGTAAAATTCCAAACTCTCCCTATGCTCTGTCTAGTAAATATTAGTTTATAAAAAACTGTGGATTTGTTTACTACTTAGTACTTCAACTAAATAAGCAATCTAAAGTCCACAAGCTGCTTTGTATGGAAAAATGCATATTTTGATATAATATTTTAAAAATAATTAGAATGAAGAAGGAACAATAAAGAACAATCTAAGCAGTAATCAACATCAAAAATGTTGGCATTCTTTATATTCTGAAACCACAGTCCATAAGTTTAAGTATAGGTTTAAATATTGGGGGAAAACGATGCCATTCCACAAATACTCCTACCTGTTGTCTGCCCATCACCACCTATTTCAACTTTTAGAATATGCAAAGAGGCACCGAAGTTCGGCTGGGGAAAGAAGTAACAATATTAACACTGTGATTCATTGTATGAAGGACAAAACACTTTAAGACAATTACTAATCACTGCCTTTCGTTTTGCAGATGAGAAAACCAAAGCAAAACTTCAAATAAACAGCAACTTATTCCAAAAGTAATTTGCCTAGTTTTTTAAAAACTAGAATTGTGAAGGCACTAAAGACTATTGGTGAAATTCACCACAGTTTCTAAGATATCACAGATACCATTAAATAATTATTTTTTCATTACCTTAAAGAGATAATCCAGTATTTGAGAACGATAGGGCTCTGGGTAATTTACTAGAAGTCGGGAGGTTGCCTAAAAAATAAAAAGTTTTCAAAAGTATGAATAAAACAAATCCAATAATGAACACCTTTTCAGAGTGCTTATGCATGCCATCTAGCATGCCCGTATTTAGCCAGCTCTTGGGCAGCGTTGAGCTGTGGAAAGCCGTTTCCCAGGTTATCTGTTTGCCTGTCTTGGTTTTGCCCATCATTGGGCAAATACGGCTGTTGTCTGTCCCATAGCTAAAACATAGGTTCCAAGCAACAACCAGGTTTCTCTTCTACTGAGATGAGGGTTGGCTGGGAGGTAAGCTTGCTAAGTCTATTGATGAATCTCATTACTACAAATTTATCTTGAGGACCTTGACTCACAGAGTGGTTTTTAGAAGAAATGAAACAGTTTCTCTGTCTTAAGGCTGTTTGTCAACTACAGTATCTGGGGGCCAGAATGGGAAAGATGAATCTCAGGTAATTTTTCCCCTCAATATCTTGCAAGAAAATATTACAAGCAGCACTGCTTAAAGGAACCTCCACTCTCCTCATTCTTATTAGAGATTTATAGGTGCTACCTCTTGCTATTAAGAACGACCACACAGTGATTCCCCAGGCCAGGCTGTACTAAGGAAACCTCACACAAGACTTTCCATCAGAATAGAAAGAGAGAGGTGGAAGATGCAGGAAATAACACTTGATCATACCTAAACCATGGCTGATGACTGCTTGAACAAAGAAATCACAAAATCAATAATCCACCAAGTATGTATACTTTGGGGGGCAACAGTAGCAAGGGGAATAAAGAGATAGGTTTTAACATGAAACAACCAACACCTTGCCAGGTGTATGCCAAGGGCAAGACTTGACTTCCATGGGGCTTGATGTTCTATTTTACTCTCATATATGCTACCACTGACATTCTGCTGGTGTCTCAGCCCCTGCCACTGACACACAGGCCCATGGAGCTACTCTCTAGCCACTTCAAGCTCAACACATCCCCAACCAAACATAGCACTTTTTCCTAAATCTGTTTCCTTCTCATGTATTTGCCATCTTAGTAAAGAACAACACCTGTCTGAGCCATAAATTTAGGGTCACCCTTTCATCAAACTTTCCATCTATCTTCAGTCACCAAGACCTCCTTAATATCTCTCTTCATCCCCTCATCTTCAACCCCACTACCTTCCTAGGCTCTCCTCAATTATTAGAACAGCCTAAATGGTTTCAGGGTCTCCCATCTGCCTCCCCATATTTTATCCTCAATACTACTTGTCAGATTAATCTTCCCAAAACAAAAACCTAACCATGAAACTACTCTGTTTAAACATGCCAAGACTTCCCTCCCCCAAGAGCTTTCAGGATAAAGTTCAGATTGTTCAGTTTTATATCCAAATCCCTTAATTATTTGCATTCTAACTCTGACACTTTACCCCTTATCACTCTCACACCATCTATCTAGGTCTAACAAACTAATTTTTCTCTTTCTTCTGTCTGGAATGCATTCTACACCCTCATTTGGCCAAACCCAATTCATCCTTTAGCTTTCAGGTCAAACTCCACCTCTTCAAGGAAGAATACCTTCTGCTCCTCCCCATAAGTTTGACATAAGTCAGGGGTCCCCAACTCCCGGGCCACAGACCGGTACAGTCGGTGGCCTACTAGGAACGGGGCCGCACGGCAGGAGGTGAGTGGAGGGTGAGCCAGCGAAGCTTCATCTATATTTACAGCCACTCCCCATCGCTCTCATTACCGCCTGAGCTCCACCTCCTGTCAGCATTATGGTGAGTTGTATAATTATTTCATTATATATTACAATGTAATAATAATAGAAATAAAATGCACAATAATTCGGGCATCATCCCGAAACCATCCCCTTCCCCCGGTCCATGGGAAAATTGTCTTCCATGAAACCGGTCCCTGGTGCCAAAAGGGTCAGACACCACTGATGCAGATTGGACTGTGGACTCCCTCGGCACAAGGTCCACATGGCTACCATAACTCTTCTATCCCTGCACTCTCATCCCTGCTTTACTTTTCTGTTTCACCTCTAAGTTCCCTGAGGACAAGGACTGTGTCTTATTCAAGTTCATATCCTCATTTAGTCTATTATTCAATAACCATTTATTTAATATCTTTTATGTTATCATTTGTTGCACTGCACAGGCAACATAATATAGGCTTTGCATCCATGAAGCTGGTATCCTGATTACATCATTTACAAGCAATGTGACCAAGGGCAATTTATCATAAAGTGGGTTATCTTCTTCATTCAGCTGTCCTAAGACTAAAATAAAGTATATGTAAAGGACTTAGCACAGTAGCTGGCACATAGTAAGCTCTCAAGAATTGACAGGCACTGTATACACAAATTGTTTTTAAACATAGAGTCACTTTCTCAAAGAGCTTACAGACTAGCAGAGGCTCAAATATTAAAGTGAATGAATGCTGTATATGCACACTAACCTATCCTTGACCCAAGGTAAACAATGCTGCCTACTCTGCATTATGCTAACGATATACATTGTTAGAACAGTGTGTTTCACTGTTTGGGGGTTATTTTGCTCTCTGTGCTCTTCTATCCCTAACACAGAAAGTGCCAACTTTGAGTAACCACACCACATCATTACTCTATTGCAAGCCTACAGTCACACCCAATGCAAAAGCATTAGTCAATGGCAATAGTCAGCTAGAAGCAGTACAGCCAAACGTTGAAAGGTACCATTAAGCAATAGCAAATTACCAAATTACTAATCACGCTCCCTGAATAAGGCCTGGAGCTCTTTACAAGCAGCCCAGGAAGCCTTAGCACAGTAGCTGGAACATAGTAGGCTCTCAACAAATGGCAGGCATTGTATACCCAAACTGGAACACGTTTTTCATTTAAAATCCTTGGAATAACTTCCTCCCCACTAATCTATGAAACAGAATGATATTAACCAAAATTAGTCATGTGACAGATGCCAGCCTGTGCTTTGACATCTATCCTCACAATGTTCCTACCAGGTAGGTATCACTGTGTCCCCAGAAAAAAACCTGAGATACAGGGAAGTTAAATAACCTGCCCAAGGCTGTACAGTGAGTGGCAGGGCCCAGAACAGATCCCTAGCAATCTGCTCTTCAGTCCACGTACACCATACTGCCTTCCCTATCAAATATGAAGATTCCAAACACTTATTGCCACAAACTGTGCTAGGTACCAGGGACTTCAGAAAGAAGTTTAAAGTGGTGTACAAATATAGTCTTGCAACCATTTTCATCCAATCGTATTTAGCGAACTTCTAAGATGAGTGATGCATTACACATAAGGACACTATTAGAATAGATAACAGTCTCCTATTCTGAGTTACGAAACAATTCTTCTCATTTTAATAATTTTAAACTGAGTTAATAAACATAAAATAACAAAACATTTCCATTTTCAGCAAGTTAAACAATGGATTTAATATCAAAGTAAAGATATTAGGACATTATGAGTCCTCATTTTAAGAAATACTGGCTATTCCAGGTTTAAACCACAAAAATAGAAAGGAGAATGGTAGTAGTAAAGAATAAATACATTAGCCCATTAGTCTACTGTTTACCTTGAAATATGCACCAGCATCTATGAGTGAGGTTGCAACATTAGAAAATAAAAATGTAAAAATCAGCTGGGTTAGGGAAAAGATTTTTTTTTTCCACAGTAGAAGGTCAGATCTGTGATCAGACTACAGACCAAGTTATCCACTGGCTTTTCCTTCTTGTAATGCAAATGCAAAACTTAATCTCTGATCACCAAGGCATCCACTTTTCAAAAATAATTATGTTTTCTGGTACGTCTACTTAAAAATAGTCACCCAAATCTCGTCAGTAACTTGAAACCTTAGAGTTTTGCTAAGTTAAATGATGGACATTAATTAAATATATAGATAATTTCCAAATAATATAAAATGCTAAAACATTAATTACTGAACATAGGTTTATCTACTTTTGGTTTCTTATCACAGAGAAACAAAAGATATTTAGATCTGTTAGAAAACATGTCTTGTGCTACAATGAAAAACTGTACCAAAAAAGAAGCATATGCTTCTAGAAATTATAAAATATATTCATAAATTTGCCAACCTACAGAATACTGGTATAACAGTTCACAATTGTTTACTTCCTAGTTTTCACTAGAAATTAAGGTTTATAAGAGTCAAGCATTCTAACTAATATATGTAATTAAAATACTGGAAATAATAAGGGAAACAATTCTATCAAGGAAAGTAGGATGTATTTTGGCTAAGAAAAGGTATGAGGTAGGGAGATGTATTTTTGTTAGGGAAATGAAAGTAATTTTGTCCTAAAGTAGACAAAATGAATGGATATAGAAGCTGGGGAAAGAGAGAGAGAGAAGAGAGGGAATTTTACCTGTGTAGTCAAGCTAGCTAAAAATGAAATAAATTTATTTTAAGGATTTTTTTAAAATAAACTTTAATAGCGTACTTATGTAAAACTAAAACTTAATTATCTTTCATCTGCTAAGAAGACAAATTTTTATTAGACTATTGGTCTGCTCTTGATAAGCCTGTGAAAGGTTTTTCTTTACCTTTTAAGTAACCTGCCTAGGAAACAAAGATTCTGTGTTTTATCAAAATAATATTCTATGCTTCACATTATCTTTACTGAATCTTTAATTACTTAAAATAAAAAGTGACTCTTCTCTATTAAAAGAGCTAAGGTTGTGTGTTTGGGGTGGGGGTGGGGGTTAAACTGGGATTAAAATAAGTAACTTTATGTATTTGCCTGTGAAGTTCTTGTGATTTTGGTTAAATGGATAACTAAGTATTATTTCACAGTGACCAACAATCCTATTTAATCAAGTGTTTTAACAGCTTTTGATATTTTGACAAACTTCCCAAAATCAAATTCTAAATGAAGTCTTTCTGACCTCAAAATAACTTTGAGATTTTCCAGATGGGCCCTGGAACATCTCAAAAGATGTGGTCTTTCTCCTTATAAAAAGACAGACGTTAAACTAATTAGGCTTTTTTGGTATGTTAAATTGCATGGGAAGCACTG